GACCAGATTCAAGGCACAGAAAGGCACTGGATGGAAGCTATTCAGGAGCATGGGTTGGGGGAGGGGCGAGACGAGACTAGCGACAGCTCAGGCTCGTTTTCTGGGATGCTGATTAGGCAGCGCGGGGAGAGTGAAGGTTCCGTGCAGTCCTGTGGTGATCCATGTGGTTTGCTGAAGGAGGGCGCAGGAGACGCAGGGCAAGAGCTGATGGCTGAAGAGGCTTCAAAGGAGAGCGATAGTGGGGAGAAGGGCAGTGAGGGGGGATGTGGGGATGGGGAGGGCAGTGGGGATGGGGAGGAAGAGGGCAGTGAGGATTGGGAGGATGGCAGTGAAGTGAAGGAGCTCATTGGTGCTTTCACCTCTGTGGCTCTCACCCACGTGCAGGTCTGCCACCCCTCATCTTCCCCTCGCTCTCTCTCTCATACATTCTCATGCCCTGTCTGTCACCCGTTTCTTGCCTGTGTGCTGCCCTTGTGTGCTGTTGCCTTCTGACATTCCTGCTACCGTGTGCAGAATCTCTCCAAGGCCACAGAGTGCCTTACAATTGAACGGGACGATATGGCCAAAGAGCTGGCATCGGCCCGAGAAAGTAAGCTTTAGACTCACTTTTTTTTTTCCTCGATTCTTTCAGCCAGCCTGACTTTCAGACGCCTTAACGATACCTCAGAACTCTAATCTTGAAGTGCAGCGGTGGTGCAGTGGCACAGTCACCTGACTTCTCCCCTCCTCTCTCCCTCATTCCCCTACCCTCTCTCCTACCTTCCTCCCCTCCTCCCACCCAACCCCCCTTTCTCCCCCCCCCCCCTTTCCCAACTTCTCCAGTGGTGCAGCGGCTGGAGCAGCAGCTGAGGGAGGCGCAGGAGGAGAAGGGGCACCTGGAGGAGGCTTTGCTAATCGCTTCTGAATCAGGGGACGGTGCTGATGGCGCTGGCGCTGGGGCGCTGCTTACGCTTTCTCCTCTCCTACTCCCTCTTTCCCCTCCCCTCCCTCCCCACCTTCCCAATCCACCCAACCCTCCCTGCCTGCAGTGGTGCAGCGGCTGGAGCAGCAGCTGAGGGAGGCGCAGGAGGAGAAGGGGCACCTGGAGGAGGCTTTGCTAATCGCTTCAGAGTCAGGGGACGGTGCTGATGGCGCTGGCGCTGGGCTGCAGCTGCTGATGACTGAGAAGGCGGCACGGCAGCAGGCAGAGCAGGAGGTGGTAGCACTGAGAGGGGAGATGAGCCGTGGACGGGTGAAGTTGGAAGAGACTGAGAAGAAGCTGGCACAGCAGATTGAGGTGAGGAGCGGTGGGGGTGAGCGCGGGTGGGGTCAGTGGGATGTGTAGGGCTTCGTGCAGAGCAGGAGGTGGCAGTGCTGAGAGGGGAGGTGAGCCGTGGACGGGTGAAGCTGGAAGAGACAGAGAAGAAGCTGGCACAGCAGATAGAGGTGAGAGGAATGCTGAAGTCCTGCTGAAGTGGTGATGGTAAGAGAGAGGGGAGATGAGTCAGGGACGGATGGTGCTGGACGAAACTGAGAAGAAGCTGGCACAGCAGATAGAGGTGAGAGGAATGCTGAAGTCCTGCTGGAGTGGTGTGAGAGAGGGTTGATAGAAGCTGGGGACGGATGATGCTGGAGGGAACTGAGAAGAAACTGGCACAGCAGATTGAGGTGAGGAGTGGTGTGGGTGGGTGCCAGAAAAATGGAGTTTGAGAAAACTTTTGAATCAACCTCAAGAGGTGGTCTCCTGGATTGAGTCAATAGTCAAAATCAGTGATGACAGTGGGAAGCTGAGGTGTGTGCGTGCGGGGCACAGATGATCCAAGTGGCTGATGATTCTTCCTATCCATCCCCCACTCCCCCTGTCAAACCACTGCCTCACATAACAAGATACATCGCAGCGCGTTGAGCAGGTGCGGGCGCTCAAGGCGGAGAGCAAGATGCTGAATGCCCTCTCAGGTCCCGGCTTAATCTCCCTTTCAACCCACCATGTCACATTTCAGGAAACCACACAGCGCGTTGAGCAGGTGCAGGCTCTCAAGGCGGAAAGAAAAAGGCTTTTCTTTACCCCTTTTCTTCCAAATCTCCCTGCCCCCACTCTTGTGTGCGATTTGACCAACAGGAAACCACACAGCGTGTTGAGCAGGTGAGGGCGCTCAAGGCGGAGAGCAAGAGGCTGAATGAGCTCGTGGTGGCAACCAGTAGGGCGCTCGTGGCAGGCGCGGCCGACGCTGCTGGCAGGGCTCTGTCCACCCTTGATTACCACTTCTGTGCTCCCAAGATCAAGACCTGATGACTACAGTGTTCGCGTTGACCAAGATCAATAATGACAGGGCTAGCAGGTGTTATTATACGGTGTTAGCAGCTTGTGTTTTTGCTAGGCAGCTGCTGCTTCAAAAGAACGTGTATTTCTGTAGCGGTGTTAGGGTTTGGGCATATTTGCCACAGTTTCTATCAGTCTCTGCAGCTCTGTCTGTGTGTTCGTTCCTGCTTGTTTGTGAAATGATTATAAAGCAGTGTGTATCTTGTCAGTTAACTACAACATGTAATCCGTAGTGCTAAGCTCTGTAGTCGTAATGCATGATCTGGAGCTTAGTTTGATTCTGAGCTCAACAGATTCTTTGTTCAACTAGTCAATAGAGGCTTGTACCGTACGTCAAATCCGAAGTTTCAACACTTGTTCACCAACTCAAACCTCAAACCAAGTTCATGAGGTAGCATCCCTATGATCTGGATGCTATTTGGTGTCACAGTACTACATCTATATGGAACTACACTCATATACATGTAAAAATTTCCACTCATGCTAGCAACATGCATCGCAGTTTCGCTTGCAGCTTTTGCCTTCGTCGTTGTTTGTAACCAGGCTCTTAAGTTTGTCTTGTTGCCAGATCAGCTGGTCACCACATCACCAGATTGCCAGGTCAAATTGTCGCCAGGTCGCTGGACCGTCACGTCAGCTTATTATCTGGTTGCCAGGTCATCACAACCTTCTCAGCAGGGGTTGGTGATCGTCATCGGTGGTAACCAGATCTGTTACAGGTGTTGTAACAGGGTCACCTGAGTGTAAACTGTGTGCTTCTCCTGCTTGAGGCCCCATGGTTGAGCCTAGAAAACGCCTGCTGTTACTGCTGCTGGCGCCTGGATTTCTGCTGCTGCTGCTATACTCTCCCTCTCTATTGCCGCTGTAATAATCTCCTTCTCTGCTGATACTGCTGGTCCTGGTGTGGTTGCCCTCTCTGTTACCAGTGCTGTGACTGGGGTGATCAGGCGAGAATGGCCCGGAAAATTCCTGCATTGGTGGGTTGACAAACAGGATTCGTGGGTTTGAGAGTCTTGTTTGCAGGGGTGCTATGAATCATAGAATATCATTGGTGGGATTCGTTTATAGTAGAGCTGGGGGGCTTTGGAACTGGGGGGAAGAGCGGAACAGAAAAGAGAGAAAAAAGGGAAGAGGGGAGGAGGGAACGCGCAAGGAGGGCAAGGAGGGCAAGGAGGGCAAGGAGGGCAAGGAGGGCAAGGAGGGCAAGGAGGGCAAGGAGGGCAAGGAGGGCAAGGAGGGCAAGGAGGGCAAGGAGGGCAAGGAGGGCAAGGAGGGCAAGGAGGGCAAGGAGGGCAAGGAGGGCAAGGAGGGCAAGGAGGGCAAGGAGGGCAAGGAGGGCAAGGAAGGCAAGGAGGGCAAGGAGGGCAAGGAGGGCAAGGAGGGCAAGGAAGGCAAGGAGGGCAAGGAGGGCAAGGAGGGCAAGGAGGGCAAGGAGGGCAAGGAGGGCAAGGAGGGCAAGGAGGGCAAGGAGGGCAAGGAAGGCAAGGAAGGCAAGGAGGGCAAGGAGGGCAAGGAGGGCAAGGAGGGCAAGGAGGGCAAGGAGGGCAAGGAGGGCACGGAGGGCAAGGAGGGCAAGGAGGGCAAGGAGGGCAAGGAGGGCAAGGAGGGCAAGGAGGGCATGGAGGGCAAGGAGGGCAAGGAGGGCAAGGAAGGCAAGGAGGGCAAGGAGGGCAAGGAGGGCAAGGAGGGCAAGGAGGGCAAGGAGGGCAAGGAGGGCAAAGAGGGCAAGAAAGGCAAGGAGGGCAAGGAGGGCAAGGAGGGCAAGGAGGGCAAGGAGGGCAAGGAGGGCAAGGAGGGCAAGGAGGGCAAGGAGGGCAAGGAGGGTAAGGAGGGAAGAAAACAGGAGTAGCAAGGTGCGATGCAATAGATTAAGCTGCCGACTTGCCTGTGAGGGAGGTTGGCTGTATGGGAGAGATGCAGAAGAGGCATCACGAGAGGAGGAGGCAGGGAAGCAGGGGGTTTGAGAGGAAGAGGGGAGGAGGGGAGGAGGGAAAGGTGGTGATAGAGCAGGCGACTTGCCTGTGAGGGAGGCTGGCTGTATGGGAGCGATGCAGAGGAGACATCGAGAGTCATGTCACCACTGCCAAGAGAGGGAAGCGAGACAAACGAGAGAGAGGGGAGGGCGGGAAGACGGAGGAGAGAGATGAGATACAAGTGAGAGGACAAGTGTCAGATGTAGTGTCAGAGCCAGATCATTTATGTGAAGAGCCAGATCATTTATGTGAAGAGCCAGATCATTTATGTGAAGAGCCAGATCATTTATGTGAAGAGCCAGATCATTTATGTGAAGAGCCGGATCATTTATGTGAAGAGCCGGATCATTTATGTGAAGAGCCGGATCATTTATGTGAAGAGCCAGATCATTTATGTGAAGAGCCAGATCATTTATGTGAAGAGCCAGATCATTTATGTAAAGAGCCAGATCATTTATGTGAAGAGCCAGATCATTTATGTGAAGAGCCAGATCATGTATGTGAAGAGCCAGATCATTTATGTGAAGAGCCAGATCATTTATGTGAAGAGCCAGATCATTTATGTGAAGAGCCAGATCCATTTATGTGAAGAGCCAGATCATTTATGTGAAGAGCCAGATCATTTATGTGAAGAGCCAGATCATTTATGTGAAGAGCCAGATCATTTATGTGAAGAGCCAGATCATTTATGTGAAGAGCCAGATCATTTATGTGAAGAGCCAGATCATTTATGTGAAGAGAAAGACGGGACAAGTGAAACAAGAGACACAAGAGAGACCTGCAATACTTGGAGTTCCGATGAGCTCAGACCTGTGATATTGAAAGAGAGACCGGCAAGGATTTGGAATCGATCAGACCTGCAATATTGAACATGGATTTGATTGTACCTGCAATCAACCGAATCTGTAGTGAAGATCGGTACGTACCTGTTTCCAAAGCTAGGCCCATACCTGTACGTGATGCTTGTACCGTATCTGTAGTCGAGACTTGGCCCGTACCTGTAGTCAAGGCTTGGCCCATACCTGCAGTCAAGGCCTGGCCCGTACCTGTAGTCGAGTCCTCGAATGCTCATCCTGAGCAGCCTCGGAATGCCGCCTCTTGACTGGGGGGAGAGGTCACCCAGATGCAGGGGGGAGGAGGGAGCAGCAGAGGGGGAGGAGGGTGCAGCAGAGGGGGTGGCGTAGGGGGAAGCATAGGGGGAGGCATCTGGGGAGGCGGAAGGGGAGACATAGGGGGAGGCAGCAGGGGGGCCGGCAGGGGGGGCGGCTGTAGTGTAAGGTTGAGTAAGGTAAGGGGAGGTGGAGGGAGAGGGGAGAGAGTGAGAGAGCTGGGAGGAGTGAGGCGAGTGAGGGGGAGAGGGGGGGAAGCGGGGGAGAGAGTGTGGAGTGGAGAGCGGGAATTGGATGGAGTGGGAGTGAGTGGGGCGAGAGGAGGAGTGGGAGTGCGAGCGAGTGGCTCTGTTGGGAGGGTTGTTTGCTGCTCCTAGCTGTTGTGCATGAGGGTGCACAACTGTTCCTCTTGCTGCTGCTTCCCTCCCTTCTTCTCCCCCTCCTCCCCCTGCTGCTGCTCCCTCTCCCCATCCTCCACCCTCTCCTCGTCCGTCCAACACTACTGGTGCCTCAGCCACAGTTCTTGCTCTAAATTGCTCAGGAGGAGCAAACAGCAACTGGGCCGGTACTACTCCCTGCGAGTTCTGACGGGCAGTGTGAGAAGGCCGTGGTACTTGTCCGTACGAGCTGCCAATGACCACTATAGCAGGGTTCCGTGCAAAAGAGGTAGGCGTCTGGGCAGACGGGGCAGAGTTCCGGGAAAATCGAGTAGAGTTTTGTACAAACGAGGCAGGGGGGGTTTGTGCACTAGAGTCTCTAGTGGTGTTGTTGATCTGTTCCTGAGGCGACTCAAAGGCAGCACCCTGCCAGCTAGCTTCTCTGGTAGTGGCCTCTGTTGCGTTCGGCCAGGCCCAACCTGGTCCGGCCGAACCAGTCCGGGTTGCCAGGTTCGACAGATCCGAACTTGACGCTGAGGCCTCGCCTGGGATGGGTTGGGGTGTGGAGCGGTGGGGGAGTTGGTGCAGCGGTGTGGAGAGGTGGAGAGCGGTGACGGGCTGTTGGGATGTGGGAGGTTGGTGAGTGGTTGAGACATGGTGCGGTGAGGTTAAGGGGGGTACGGAGGGGTGGAGAGAGGCGGAATGAGAATGACTGGGGGGCAGCATCAAGGGGGGGATGGGTGAAGGGGTAGGGGCGTTTTGGGGAGGGGGGAAATAGGACTGGGGGAGAGGATGGTGGAGGGGTTGGTGTGGAGAAGTGATGGGAGGGAGAGGAGCTGACATGGACATGTGAATGGGGCGAGAGAGAGGGGTGGAGGGGGAAATGCCTACACCACTAGCACCAACCACAGCACCAGCAGCAGCTGTAGCAGCGGTGGAGGATGGGTTGGTGGATGGGAGAAAGAAGGGATTGGGAGTGAGGAAGGATGGATAGGGCAGGGGACTGGGTGAAGGGTAGTGGTGCTGATACTGCTGCTGCTGCTGCTGGTCTTGCTGGTGATATTGCTGGTGCCGGAATTGGGGCTGTTGCTGTTGCTGATAGCTGCGGTGGCGGAGGAGGTTGTTCTGTCGTGTGCTTGATGCCTGCTCGAGTGGGTGTTGTGACTGATCGTAGTGCTGCTGCTGGTGGTATTGTTGGTAGGAGGCTGAGGAGGAGGAGGAGGCGGGAGAGGCATGGGAGGAAGATGAGGAGTAAGGTACAGGGGCAAGAAGCGTCCTGGAGAGGGGGAGAAGAGAGGGGAAGAGGAGGGGAGGCGAGTGGAACAGAGGGGCGAGAAGGAGAGGACAGATGTGAGTATGAGAAGGAGAGGACAGATGTGAGTATGAGAAGGAGAGGACAGATGTGAGTATGAGAAGGAGAGGACAGATGTGAGTATGAGAAGGAGAGGACAGATGTGAGTATGAGAAGGAGAGGACAGATGTGAGTATGAGAAGGAGAGGACAGATGTGAGTATGAGAAGGAGAGGACAGATGTGAGTATGAGAAGGAGAGGACAGATGTGAGTATGAGAAGGAGAGGACAGATGTGAGTATGAGAAGGAGAGGACAGATGTGAGTATGAGAAGGAGAGGACAGATGTGAGTATGAGAAGGAGAGGACAGATGTGAGTATGAGAAGGAGAGGACAGATGTGAGTATGAGAAGGAGAGGACAGATGTGAGTATGAGAAGGAGAGGACAGATGTGAGTATGAGAAGGAGAGGACAGATGTGAGTTGGTCTGACCATACGGAGCATGAGAAGGCAAAGAAGAGGATGAATTGGAGTTAGGCACAGGCACAGGGGCAAGCAGCATCCTGGCGACTTTTGAGACGTCTCAAAAGCATCCTGGAGATGGGGGCAGGTAATGAGGAAAGGGGAAAATGGGGGACAAGTTGAGAAGATAGGAGACGAGGCATGTGAGTCGGCTTGTAAGCTTCAAGTGGACGGGTAGGAACTCCAAGAGCGAAGGAGACGGAGCAGAGCAGAGGGCTTGAATGAGCCATAGCCATGCATGGCCAGCCATGGGAGCAGAGGGCTTGAGTGAGCCATAGCCATGCATGGCCAGCCATGGGAGCAGAGGGCTTGAATGAGCCATAGCCATGCACGGCCAGCCATGGGAGCAGAGGGCTTGAATGAGCCATAGCCATGCACGGCCAGCCATGGGAGCAGAGGGCTTGAATGACATCCCCCATGGCTGGCCATGCTAACGAGGTGACTTTTGAGTCGACTCAAAAGTCACCGCGCTGACGGCTCACCCTGCGTGCATCGCATGGCTATGGCTGCCGCCGTGCCATGGCTTCCAGGTGACTTTTAAGTCGACTCAAAAGTCACCTCTCAACCTGCGTGCATCGCATGGCTATTGAGTCGACTCAAAAGTGACTTCTAAGGCTCAAAAGCCACTTCTCAACCTGCGTGCATCGCATCGCTATGGCTGCTGCCCGCGCCATGGCTTCCAGTGGAGAAGCTGCAGAGGAAGGTCACTGTGGGAAGAGGAAGAGGAAGAGGAAGAGGAAGAGGAAGAGGAAGAGGAAGGGGTATGGTGGCCCCAGCGCACGCACCTGGTCATGGGCGAGTGCTCCAAGGCAATGGCACGGAGGGCTTGCAACACTTCCCCCGTTGATGGCCGCGCTGAAGGCTCGCTTTCAGTGCACCTCATGGCTATGGCTGCCGCCCGCGCCATGGCCTCCAGCGCAGGGGTTGCAGAGGAGGTTGATGGTGAGAAGAGGAAGAGGAAGAGGAAGGGGTGCGGTGGCCCCAGCAGCACACGCACCTGGTCATGGGCGAGTGCTCGAACGCGATGGCTCGGAGCGCTTGCACCACGTCCCCCATTGATGGTCGTGCTGAAGGCTCGCTTTCCGTGCACCTCATGGCTATGGCTGCCGCCCGCGCCATGGCCTCCAGTGGATAGCTGCCGCCCAGACGGGGGTCGGCGAAGTGTCGCAGGCCTTGCTTTCTGTTGGAGGGAGAGGGTGGGATATGATGGGATGGGATGGGATGGGATGGGAGTCTTGAGACGAATTGCTGACTGGAGTCGAGTGGATAGCTGCCGCCCAGACGGGGGTCGGCGAAGTAACGCAGGCCTTGCTTTCTGTTGGAGGGAGAGGGTGGGGTGGGATGAGATGGGACTTTTGAGACGTCCCAACACTACATGGATGGGATAAGATAAGAAAAGCTGACTGGAATCGAGTGAATAGCTGCCGTGCCGTGCCGCCCACACGAGGGTCGGCAAGCTGGCGCAGGCCCTGCTCGATGTTGGTGGGAGAGATGACTTTTGAGTCGACTCAAAAGTCGCCCACACGAGGGTCGGCAAGCTGGCGCAGGCCTTGCTTGATGTTGGTGGGAGAGGGTGGGGCGGCATGGGATGGCATGGCATGGGATGGGATTTGAGGCGCCCAAAAAGTCGTCTCATTACTCGCAACTTCTATATTGATAGGGTCGGCAAGCTGGCAAGGCAGGCCTTGCTTGATGTTGGTGGGAGAGGGTGGGACGGTATGGGATGGCATGGCATGGCATGGGATGGGATTTGCATCAGATTGAGGATTTGCAAGAAAGCCTACAGCACAGGCATGCATGCAGACATGTGCGAGGAGAGGAGAGGAGAGCTGTTCGTAGCGAATAAAACGAGGGGAATAAGATAGATCTGAAACCAGGCATGCATGGAGAGATGCGCGAGGAGAGGAGAGGAGAGGAGAGGAGAGGAGAGGAGAGGAGAGAAGAGGAGAGGAGAGGAGAGGAGAGGAGAGGAGAGGAGAGGAGAGGAGAGAAGAGGAGAGAAGAGGAGAGGAGAAGAGAGAAGAGGAGAGGAGAAGAGAGAAGAGGAGAGAAGAGGAGAGGAGAGGAGAGGAGAGGAGAGGAGAGGAGAGGAGAGGAGAGAAGAGGAGAGGAGAGGAGAGAAGAGAAGAGGAGAGGAGAGGAGAGGAGAGGAGAGGAGAGAAGAGGAGAGAAGAGGAGAGGAGAAGAGAGAAGAGGAGAGAAGAGGAGAGGAGAGGAGAGGAGAGGAGAGGAGAGGAGAGAAGAGGAGAGGAGAGGAGAGAGAGGAGAGGAGAGGAGAGGAGAGGAGAGGAGAGGAGAGGAGAGGAGAGGAGAGGAGAGGACAGGAGAGGAGAGGAGAGGAGAGGAGAGGAGAGGAGAGGAGAGGAGAGGAGAGGAGAGGAGAGGAGAGGAGAGGAGAGGAGAGGAGAGGAGAGGAGAGAAGAGGAGAGGAGAGGAGAGGAGAGAAGAGGAGAGGAGAGGAGAGGAGAGGAGAGAAGAGAAGAGAAGAGGAGAGGAGAGGAGAGGAGAGGAGAGGAGAGGATAGGAGAGGAGAGGAGAGGAGAGGAGAGGAGAGGAGAGAAGAGGAGAGGAGAGAAGAGGAGAGGAGAGGAGAGGAGAGGAGAGGAGAGGAGAGAAGACGAGAGGAGAGGAGAGGAGAGGAGAGGAGAGGAGAGGAGAGGAGAGGAGAGGCGAGGAGAGGAGAGGAGAGGAGAGGAGAGGAGAGGCGAGGAGAGAAGAGGAGAGGAGAGGAGAGGAGAGGAGAGCAGAGGAGAGGAGAGGAGAGGAGAGGAGAGGAGAGGAGAGGAGAGAAGAGGAGAGGAGAGGAGAGGAGAGGAGAGGAGAGGAGAGGAGAGGAGAGGAGAGGAGAGGAGAGAAGAGGAGAGAAGAGGAGAGGAGAAGAGAGAAGAGGAGAGAAGAGGAGAGGAGAGGAGAGGAGAGGAGAGGAGAGGAGAGGAGAGAAGAGGAGAGGAGAGAGAGGAAAGGAGAGGAGAGGAGAGGAGAGGAGAGGAGAGGAGAGGAGAGGAGAGGAGAGGAGAGGAGAGGAGAGAGAGGAGAGGAGAGGAGAGGAGAGGAGAGGAGAGGAGAGGAGAGGAGAGGAGAGGAGAGGAGAGAAGAGGAGAGGAGAGGAGAGGAGAGGAGAGAAGAGGAGAGGAGAGAAGAGAAGAGAAGAGGAGAGGAGAGGAGAGGAGAGGAGAGGAGAGGAGAGAAGAGGAGAGGAGAGAAGAGGAGAGGAGAGGAGAGGAGAGGAGAGGAGAGGAGAGGAGAGGAGAGAAGAGGAGAGGAGAGGAGAGGAGAGGCGAGGAGAGGAGAGGAGAGGAGAGGAGAGGAGAGGAGAGGAGAGGAGAGAAGAGAAGAGGAGAGGAGAGGAGAGGAGAGGAGAGGAGAGGAGAGGAGAGGAGAGAGAGGAGAGAAGAGGAGAGGAGAGGAGAGAAGAGGAGAGGAGAGGAGAGGAGAGGAGAGAAGAGAAGAGGAGAGAAGAGGAGAGGAGAGGAGAGGAGAGGAGAGGAGAGCTGTTTGTAGCGAAAAAAACTAGAGGATTAAGATAGATTCTTTACTAGGCATGCACGTACGAGGAGAGGAGAGGCCTGGCCCACACCACGATGCTCGATACCCCCTCTCTCCCCCCTTCCCACATACACACATACACATGGCACAGGACTGCATGCATGCACGTACGAGGAGAGGAGGGGCCTGGCCCACACCACGATGCTCGATACACCACCCAACCAACCCCCTCTCCCTTCCCCCCCCAACACACACACACAGCACAGCCATATGGGTTTGCACGTACGAGGAGAGGAGGAGCCTGGCCCACACCACGATGCTCGATACACCCTTCCTTGCCCCTCCAGTTCCTGCAGCTCCTGCTGCTGCTGCACCTGCACCTTCCAAAACTGCTGCACTCTCCTCCTCAGCTGCTGCCGCCCCAGCTCCCTCTGCAACAGCTCCTACAGCACCATCTGCACCGTTTACAACCCCTGCACTCCCCTCCACAGCTGCTGCTGCTGCCGCTGCTGCATCACCAGCCGTCTGAAATTGCTCCAGAGGCACGAGGGCAGGGCGGCCGGAGAGCACTTCCAGCAGCACGACACCGAAGCTGAAAACATCACTCTTGGTCGCCACTCGGCCTGTCAGCGCGTATTCAGGCGCCATGTACCCAAACGTGCCTCGCATATGCTGGGACTCCAACCCCCCCACCTCTCCCCTTCCACCTCGACCTCCTCCTTCGCCTTCTCCTCCTGCTAGAACCTCTTGATCTCTTCTTTCTTGACTTCCCCCTTGTTTCCCCTCTCTTTCATCCACACCCTTAGCATTGTAACCTTGTCCTCCTCCCACCTCCCCACTTCCCTCTTCTGCCTCTGCTCCCTCCTCCCCTTTCTCTCCCACCTCTCCCGCCTCTCCCTCCCCGCTTCCCCTCCCACCCCCCACCCCTCCTGCCACCCCCCACCTTCTCCCTAACCACTCTCGCCAGCCCCAGATCCGCAATCCTGGCCGTCCAATCAGCATCCAGCAGGATATTCGACGTCTTTAAATCGCGGTGGATAATCTGCGGACTGGAGTCCTCATGCAGGTAAGCTAACCCCTGGGCCGCCCCCAGTGCTATTTTCAGCCTTGTAGTCCAGTCTAGAATGGTGGGAGTAGGGGAGAGGGCGGAGTGGGAGGAGGGAAGGGTGGGGGAGGGGAGGCTCGTGGGGAGGGTGGAGGTGGGGAGGGCGGAGGAGTGGAGGTGCTCCCTCAGGCTTCCCTTTTCGGCTAGCTGGAAGACAAGACAACGCACGCCGCCCTCGTCGCGCGTTCCCAGAAGCTTCACCACGTTCTTGTGGTTCAGCCGGCTCAGAAGCCGCGCCTCCGTAATAAAATCCCTCTCCGCCCCGGGCGGCGAATCGAATCTTTTCACGGCTACCAGTTTGCCGCCCGGCAAGCACCCCCGGAACACCTGGCTGGACCCGCCTCGGCCAATCAGGTTGCTCGGGTGGAAACCGCCAGTGGCTGAGTAGAGTTCTGAGAGGGAGAATGAGAAGGTTGCTTCAGCAAAAGGGGCTAGGGCTTGCATAGAGGCTCCTCTAGAGGACCCTTCTCTTAGGGCTCCTTTTCCCCTGCCTGCTTCTCCTCCTCCTCCTACTCCTCCTCCTGCTCCTCCTAATCTGCCTACTCCTCCTCCTACTCCTCCTGCTCCTCCTAATCTGCCTACTCCTCCTCCTCCTGCTTCTCTTTCTGCAAATGCTCCTGCTGCTGCTATCCCTAAACCAGTTGTAATCTCTGCTCTTTCTCTGGCTGCTCCAGCTGCTGCCACTCCTCCACCTGCCCACTGCCTCTCTGCCCCCGATGCAAGCGGCGTGTAATGGTCGTCATCACTCTCCCCTTCAGCCCACGCCTGCACCTCTTCCCTCTCCTGGCGTCTACCCACCCGCCCAACAACGCCTCCTCGTCCTCTCTCTCTCCGCTCTTCCCACTCCTCCCCCACCTCCTGCTGCCCCGACCTTCCCCCACGTTCCCACCCTATCCTCTCCGCCCCGCCCTCCATCCACCCTTCTCCCCCCCCCTCTCCCCCCCTCCCTCCCTCCTCCCTCCCTCCTCCCCTCCGTCCTCTCCTCTCTCCTCGTCCCCCTTTCCCGTTCCCTTTCCAACTCCCCACTAATTTCCCGACACCCTTCCCTGCCTTCTCCCAAGGCCTCCTCCTCACGCACCACACCGCCACACAGAGAGTAATAATCGCGAGGATCAACGCAGGGAGAACGATCATAAGCATCACCTTCCAGTAAGGCATGCCCCCGGAGGCAGGAGGGGGTGGAATGGAGGGAGGCAAGGGGGTGAACGGGGAGGAGGAGGCGGAGGAGGAGGTAAGAGGGGCGGGAGAGGTGGAGGGGGAAAGCAGAGGCGGGGGCGGAGGCGGGCGTTCACCTGGGGGGGATACAGGGGAGAATGAGGGTGGGGAGAAGTGGGGGAGAGGGGGAGAAGGGAACAAAGTGGGTGGGAGCGAGGGGGGCATAGGTTGATAAGATAGGGATCAGAACCCCTTCATTACCCATAAGTGGGACCACTCACCAGAATGACCACATACGCCCCAAACAGCTGCCGGTCCAGCACCAACGATCCACTCAACAGCAGCCACTGCATGCAACCCACCAAAGCAGCCTTCCTCTCTGTTTCCCTTCATCCTCCCCTCACCTGGTTTGAGCACCAGAATGACCTCATACGCCCCAAACAGCTGCCGGTCCAGCACCAGCGATCCGCTCATCAGCAGCCGTCGGATGCGATCCACCTCTGCTGCACTCAGCCGATCCGTGATTGGCTGCTGCCGGGCGGCTGTGGCAGGTGGCGGCGGGCGGGAGGAGGAGGAGGAGGAGGACTGCAGGAGACGAGAGATTTTACCCGACGACGAGGAGTGATGAGAATGGGGGGAGGGTGAGGAGGAGGAGGAGTTTGCAGTTGTCGCTGCTTCTGTAGCTGCTGCTGATGATGGTGATTTGATTTGTCTCGCTTCGACACCCATTCCACCACTTATCGTCGCCCCTTGGGCACCAGTGGCACTTGCAGCATCAGCAGCAGAAGCGATTGAGGCAGTGGCAGCAGCAGCAGCAGCAGCAGCAGCAGCGGCAGAGGGGGAAGAGGAGGAGGCGAGGGGTAGGAGATAGACAGTGACATCCAGAGCAGCAGGATCAGGGTCATAGTTCACTGCCCACACCTGCACGGCATGTGGTAACCGGGTTACAAGTGGGGGAAGAGGGGCAGGATCAGGGTCATAGTTGACTGCCCACACCTGCAGCAGAGATGTGGTAACCGGGTTACAAATGTGGGAAAAGGAAGGGGAAGAGGGTGAAGAGGTACACACACAGTACCATCTTCACGGAGGGTTAAGAGGGCAGCAGGATCACGGAGGAGGGGGAGGGGGAGGGGGTGTGGAGCAGCAGGCTGTGGCTCTCAAATCCAGAGCAGCACGGGTCACGGTTATTTAACTGCTCATACTTGTTTCTGATGCAGCACGAGGGAGGTTGCTGTCTGGGCAGTGAAGGCGGGGAGGTTGAGGAGGAAGGAATCGAAGCCGCAATAGAGCTTCATGACGACCACCATGGGGAGGGAGACCGCAGGTGCGAATAGGGCGGGAGTTTGCACTCAGCCTCACACTCACTCACCCCAACTGCAAACCCTCAGACTGACTCACCTCCACTTGCTCCTTCTCAAGTGTGAGCAAGGTAGCCGTCTGGGCAGTGAAGGCGGGGAGGTTGAGGAGGAAGGAGTCGAAGCCGCAATAGAGCTTCATGACCACCACCATGGGGAGACCGCAGATGAGAACAAGGGGGAAGTTTGCATTCATCCTCACACTTACTCACCCCAACCACACACCCGCTGACTGACTCACCTCCACTTGCTCTTGCTGCAGTGCGAGGGAGGTTGCCGTCTGGGCGGTGAAAGCGGGGAGGTTGAGGAGGAAGGAATCGAAGCCGCAATAGAGCTTCATGACGACCAGCATGGGGAGACCGCATGGCGTGAGTGTGAATAGAGAATGAGTTTGCACTCAGCTGAGACTCACCTCCACTTGTTCCTTCTGTAGTACGAGTGAAGTGGCAGTCTGCGCAGTGAAGGCTGGGAGGTTGAGGAGGAAGGAGTCGAAGCCGCAATAGAGCTTCATGACCACGGTCATGGGGAGACCGCAGGTGCAGGGTGGAGGGGCGGAGGGGGGGACGGCGGGGGAGGCGGAGGAGGGGGAGGGGGAGGGGAGGAGGACGTAGGTGTCTGGGCAGGGAGGACAATCTGGTGGGAAAAAGGGGGAAAGGGGGGAAGGAGATAGTGGTGGGGAGTGGCGGGAGAGTGGAGTGAGAACAGGAGGAAAGAAGCAAGTGGTATGCAAAACATGTGACGTGAGAAATGTCATGTTGAGACGAGGAGAGGAACTAGAGACGTGGGGAAGAGAGAGAATGAGAGGCCAGTATTGGTGAATCAATGAAGACGATAAAAAAAAACTGATACGATGACAGCGAGTCACTCCCCTGTCACCTAAGAAGAACAAACTAGACATGATCAAACAGGCGTAGGAGATAAGACGAATACTCACTTCTGCTATCCGGTGGGGGGGGCGGCAGCGGAAGCGACGGGGGCGGCAGCACAGGCAAAGGGGGAGGGCTCCAGGTAGTGACAGGAGCATGGGAGGAGTTGGGGTGGGGTAGGAATGCCGGGTGTGGCGGCGGTGCTGCTGGTGCTGAGGTAGGTGGTTTTTCAGGTGCTTTTGGTGCTGGGGCAGGTGGTATTTCAGGTGCTTTTGGTGCTGGGGCAGGTGGTATTTCAGGTGCTTTTGGTGCTGGGGCAGGTGGTATTTCAGGTGCTTTTGGTGCTGGGGCAGGTGGTTTTTCAGGTGGTGGTTTGACTGGTGGGGTTTCTGGTGCGGGATAGTTGGTTGGTGGTTGTGCTAGGGGTGGTGAGGGTGTGAGAGGAGGAGGGGAGGGAGGAGAGAGGGGGAGAGGAGGCTGTTTTGGAGGGCTGGGAGGGAGGAGAGAAATGGGGGGAGAAGGGGGGAAGCCTGGAGGAGGGAAAGGAGGAGGAGGGTGCGGAGGGGGTTGGGGAGGAGGGTGGGGAGGTGGGTGAGGAGGGGAGAGAACGGGAGCAAGGAGGATAGGACCGAGGGTGTAAGGAGAAGAGGGAGGAGGTGAGGAGGGAGAGACGGACGGGGGGTTGGGGGGAAATGGGGGAGAGTGGGGTGGAGGGGATGGGGAGGGTGGGGGAGCAGGGGCAGGAGGAGGGGGGAGAAGAGTAGGAGGAGGGGGGGGATTAGGGAGTGAGGGAGGGGGGGGATTAGGGAGTGAGGGAGGGGGAGGCTCTGTGGCATTACCCATATCGTTAGAGTTGGCAGGTGGGGGGTGTGCGCGCGCAGGGGGGGAGGGGAAGGGAGGTGGGGGAGAGTCGGGGAAGGGGGAGACACGGGGGGTGGGCTAGGCGGAATGGGAGGGGGACGGGGGGATTGGGGAGGGGACGGGGAGGGGGAAGGGGGAGGAGGGGAAAGAAGCACAGGGGGATTCTGGGGAGGGGGAGCTGAGGGCGAGGGGGAAGGCAGAGAGGAGGGGGGTAGAGCGGTTGTGGGGGGAAGGGGGAGAGGGGGAGCGAGGTTTGGAGGGGGAGGGGCGAGAACTGGAGAGGGAGAGGGGGGGGCTGGAGGAGAGGGGGGGGGTGGAGGAGAGGGGGGGGGTGGAGGAGAGGGGGGGGGTGGAGGAGAGGGGGGGGGTGGAGGAGAGGGGGGGGGTGGAGGAGAGGGGGGGGGTGGAGGAGAGGGGGGGGGTGGAGGAGAGGGGGGGGGTGGAGGAGAGGGGGGGGGTGGAGGAGAGGGGGGGGGTGGAGGAGAGGGGGGGGGTGGAGGAGAGGGGGGGTTTGGAGGCGAGGGGGGGACAGGGGGCGGAGCAGGGGGGGAGGTGGGTCGGGGAGGGGAAGGGGGAGGGGAGGTGGGGGAGTTCATATCACCAAGAGGGGGGGACAAAGGGGAGGGGAGAAATGGGGAGGGAGGTGATGGGGGCGGAAAGGGAGGGGAAAAGGGAGGGGAAGGAGGGGCAGAGAGGGAAGGAGCGGGGGAAGGCAGGGGAGGGGAGGGAGGGGGAACGGGGGGAGATGGTGGTGCAGGGGGGGCGGGAGGCGGGGATGCGGGGGAGTTGAGATCCCCAAATGGGGGCTGTAAGGGGTAGTGGGTCGGGGGGGGTGCGGGAGGCGGAAGAGGAGGTGGGGGAGGGGGGCCCGGGGGACTAGGAGGAGAGGGGACTGAGGAGCGGAGGAATGGCGATAAGGTGTGGCGTGGAGGATGGGAGGACGGGAAAGATGGGGAAGATGGGGAAGAGGGACGGCAACAACAGGAAAACATACAGAGTACGGGAAGAGAAACAGAGAAAAAGGGAAAGAAAGGGGACGGTGATTAGCAGGATGCAGAGACGAATTGCAATCACGGCTTGCCTGTGAAGGCGAAATAGAGACTATGTTTGAATGAATTATCGCACTGAAACGAGATATTCGTCATGGGGCTAAGACAGTCTATGAATGCGAGCGAATAGGAACATATACGTAACGAACCATCATTGACACCAAAACAAAACGAGAGATACACATCAGTCTGTGGGACACAGCTCGCACGAAGATGTGAAAAGGGTGGAGATGATGTGAAAAGGGTGGAGATGATGTGAGAGTGGTGGAGAGGGTGTGAAAGGGGTGGAGAGGAGCTGACCTGGAGCCGGTGGTGGTGGTGGTGGCGGGGGCTGGGGTGGAGGGAGGGGAGAAGGGGCAGAGGAAGGAGGGAGAGGAGGGGGAGGAAGTTGAGGAGGAGGAAAGGGGGGCGAGGGAGTTGCAGGAGGGGAAGGAGGTGGAGAGGGAGGAGAGGTGGGGGAGGAAGGAGAGGGAGGAAGAGGAGGAGAGGGAGGGGAGGGAGGAAGGGGAGGGGAGGGAAGGGATGGAGGGGATGGAGGGGATAGAGGAAGGGTGTATGACGATGGTGTTGATGCCAGTTCCTGGAACAACAGAGGCATGGCATGAATGAATGGATGTAAGATGCATGGATGGAAAATGAGAAAGAGGGAGAGGAGAGGAGAGGAGAGAAGTGGTGATGAAGCGGATGCGAACGGCATGAGGGAGAGCAGGCCCGAAGCAAGCAGCTACTTGAATGCACTGGACTGCACTGCACTGCACTGCACTGCACCACACTGCACTGCAAGAGCCACTTACAAGCGAGGATGAGGAAGCTGTGGAGAATGGGATGAGGGAGAGAAGCCGCGGAGTCAGCAAACTCGTGACAGCGGCAGTGGTGGTTGTAGCTTCGGGAGCTGACGTGGCAGGCGTATCAGTATGTGACGTGGCAGCAGTAGGTGACGTGGCAGCAGTGTGTGATGTGGCAGAAGCATGTGACGTGGCAGGCAGTGAGTGGCTGATGTGGAGGAGGACCCGGTGCATGTGAAAGGTGACCTGGAAAAAAGGGGGAAGGAGAGCAAGAGGGGAGCATGAGAGTGATAGAGAGGATGAGAGTGAGTGAGAGAGTGATGAGACTGTGAGGGGGAGTTGGCAGGCAGTGATTGGCTACCACCCTTGCCGCATGTAGAGGAGGATTTGGCGCATGTGAAAGGTGACCTGGAAAAAGGGGGGTATAGAGCAAGAGGGGAGCAAGCGGCCACGGGTAGGAGTGAGTGAGGGAATAAGGGAGTGAGGGACATGAAGAGGGGAGATGGGATACAGCAGAGGAAGTCAGTCAGAGGAGTTCGTGTGAGAGAAACGACAATGGTGGAAGAATAAGTGGGAGAACAAGAGTGGGTGATAGCACACCTTTCTTGACAGATGTGAGAAGAGCTGCATCCATCCCGACCACTGCGTATTCTCTTGCGTCTCCCTCTGCTCCAGCTCGGATGAATCTACAGGTGCTGAGACTGCGCCTGACGTGGCTAGTGGCTGGCCTGACGTGGCTAATGGCTGGCCTGACGTGGCTAATGGCTTTGACGTGGAACCATCGGGACTAGAGAGTGGTAATGATGAGTGATGTAGGGGAGATGAGGGAGAGTTGGAGAGAGCTTCTGAGGAATGGGAGGATGAAGGATGAGTGAGTAAGGGCTGAGAAGCAACAGGAGGAGGAGGCGGAGGAGGAGGAGGGGAAAGAGGTTGCGCCAATGGGAGGGAGATGTTCCACGTGTGCATGAGGACGTGGCGCGCCATGAGCCCTGCAAGCCATGCCACGTCATCAGTGCGGTGCTGACGCAGCCAGAGAGAGCCAGGTGGCAGCAGCCTGTTGGTTGGGGGGGAGAAGGGAAGAGATAAAAGGTGGAGGCGGGATGGGGGTTGGGAAAGGGATGGGGTGGGAATGAGGTGGGTGGGGGGGGGGGGGGGGGGAGTGGCAGAGGCAGCAGGAGGGAGGGAGGGAGGGAGGGGCAAGAAAGGAGGAGGCGATTGAAGGAGCTTACCAGCAGGGCGAGGCCGAGTTTTGAGTCGACTCAAAACTCGACTCAATACCAGCAGAGCGAGGCCAGGCGTATATCGGAGCACGAGCCATCGGCACAGAGCAGGCGCAGCGACCCGCTCTCATTTAGACAGAGTCAAGGCTTATACCCGAGCGCACACCAGCAGAGCGAGGCCAGGCGTATATCGGAGCACGAGCCATCGGCACAGAGCAGGCGCAGCGACCCGCTCTCATTTAGACAGAGTCAAGGCTTATACCCGAGCGCACACCAGCAGAGCGAGGCCAGGCGTATATCGGAGCACGAGCCATCGGAACAGAGCAGCGGGGTCAAGGGAGCGAGAAGCAGATAGCAGCACAGGGAGTTCAAGGCTAACGTACCAGCATAGTGAGTCCCATCAGCACATGCTGCTGGTACGTTAGCAGTCCAGGCGAATGTCAGATCACAAGCCTTCAGCACACAGCAGCGCGGGAAGATGGAGAGGGGGAAGCACATACAAGCAGCGAGAGTAAGAACATACCAGCGTAGTGAGTCCAGGCGAATGTCAAATCACAAGCCATCAGCACACAGCAGCCGCAGCGGGGGTGAGGGAAGGGGAGACACACAAGTACCGTCACGTCACCTAACATTCCAGCCCATGGAGTCATGGCTAACGTACCAGCATAGTGAGTCCAGGCGAATATCGGAGCACGAGCCATCAGCACACAGCAGCAGGGGTAGAGAGATGGGGAGAAGCAAGCACCGTCACATGCAGTCACGGCAGAGGGTAGCATACCAGCAGAGCGAGTCCAGGCGGATATCGGAGCATGAGCCATCAGCACACAGCAGCCGCAGCGACCCGCTCTCATTCACCTCCGCCAGAAGCTCCTGCCAATCACGCTCCGCCACGTGGCTGCCTGCCAGCCACAGGAGTGCCACCACTGGCCGCTTCCCCCTTCTGCTGCTGCCGCTGTCGCTGCTGCTGCTGCTGCTGCTGCTGCTGCTGCTGCTGCTGCCACCGCTGCTGCTGCTGCTGCCACCGCTGCTGCCACCGCTGCTACTGCTATCCACTCCCTCCTCTTTGGTCGCCTGCTCCGTCTCATGCAGCAGATTTAAGCACGAGATAACCCCTTCTCCAGAGCACATACGCATGTTCCCGACCAAGTCTTTCCCCTGCTGCCGAGCCTGCTGCTTCCAGACCTCCTCCGCCTCCGTTCCAAGCCCCACCTGAGCCAGCAGGTATGGCATTCTGTCGCACATGCTGCCTGTCACAATCACCCCTACTGACCCGCTCGTTATGTTGCCATATCTGGCAGCAGCAGCAGCAGCGCCAGCACCAGCAGCCGTTGCTGCTAGTATATTGGCACCCCTTGCTTTCCTCCGTCGAGCCTTACTCTGAGTCTGCTTCTGCTTCTGCTTCTGGTTCTGCTGCTGTTGCTGCTGTTCTTGCTGCCTCTGCTGCTGCTGTTCCTGCTGCCCATGCTTCGATTTCCGCTGCGCCTGTTCCTGATCCACTGGACCCTCTACTCTTTGTTGCCACGGCTTTTGCCACTGCGTCTGCCCCTGCTGCCCACCTGCATTGCCACTAGCTACCTGTACCTCCTCTCCCTCCTGATCCCGCCGCTTTTCCCGCTGTTGCTGCTGGTATCTCGGCTCTCGCTGTTCCTTCTGCTGCTGCTGCGTCTGCTGCAAGCCATCTGCGAGATCCGATTTTAGAAGATCCAACGGCGGAGACAGCAGCGCCACGTCAGCAGCGCCAGGAGCGGCGTGCGGAAGCAGCAGCGCTCGCCAGCAGTGCTGGTCGAGGGCGCGCGGAACGCTGGTGTTCGGGGGGCGGAGAGGGGGAGGAGGGAGGGAGGGTGAGGGAAGGGAATAACGGAGAGAAAAGCCGATGTCAAAAGAAAGGGGGGAGAGGGGAGAAGGCCGACACGAGCCTAAGAGTACGCTTTTTGAGACGTCTAAAGGAGGAATGCAGTTGTGCAGTTTAGCTAGAACACACCATTTCCAGCACGGTGGGTGGGATTGGTCCGAGTCACAGGTGTTGTCGTCGCCGCCGGGGTGTGACTGTAAGAGGAGGTTCTTGCAGAGAGAGGAGGAACTACCTTCCACCACGCACCACCGGACCTCTGCATTACGGCACGCAAGCGAAAGCACACCGGACCAGAAAGCAAAGGAAGGCAATGCGATGTAACGTGATATGGTATGATGTGTGACGTAATGTGATGTGACTGAAAAAAGGCTGCAATGACGAGGTGACACTTGAGCCGACTCAAACGTCACGTTCATGCGATGTGATAGACACAGGGTTACACCATTTTAAGTTAAACGGTGTGCATTCCCCGGCCGGCAATCACCGCATCGCATTGCATCTAACCAGATAGTCTTATTAGTCGACACAAAAGCCAGACGAACGGCATTTTCATTAGCAGCAGGCGTCTCGTGCAACGCAGCAAGACACGACGCAGGAGCGTATTCGTGAAAAGACGTTCAAGCTTGTACCGAGGATGACGTCAACGCAGGCGAGGACAAGCGAAAACAACGGAGAGAAGTGAATCTGAGTTGAAGTATTTGAAGCGAGCGAAAGGCCGTTACCTTCGGCGGCGGCCGGTAAATTCGCCGGCGAGAGCAGGCTGACAATAAGAAGAGAGGCGAGCCATACTCTCAAAAACGTCGCGGATCGCAGGTATCTCTTCGTCGGATCTCTATAAATAAGGTGCTGACGTGGGCCGTACGGCTGACGTGGATCGCACTGATCTATCGGCTCGTTACCGCCGTGAAGTCTGATGCTAGGTTCCGGATCACCGTCGCACGACTGCTTTGGTTGGCGAGTCATACGAAATCGTCGTGTCGCTACCCTATTATTCGCATCATCCATTTTCCCTTCGTCACGGAGCTGAATCGCAATGCGGGAATGGCGGTACGCGTTATAAGATCGTTCTTAGTGGAGCGTCTCATCGTCAGTGCTACGACGAGTCACGAGCGGGAGGCCCGCAGCTACGATTCTGACCACATCGCTTATCTTGCAGCAAAGCGTTCACGCGTCGAAGGAATGACTGTATAATGCTGTACTTACTCTCGCTTTCACCCACTCTCGCTCCTAATGTGATTCTGTCACCTTTCCTGATAGTGTCTGCACGTGCTCAACGCGAAACTACGTGAATGCGTTACAGGTGACGATTATATTCCCAAGGAGCATCAGGAACGAACTTCCCGTCCTCTCTGACTCGGGATAGCTCTGGGGATCATCCCGAAGCGGACAGCTTCACAAGCCACTTGTTCGGTAAGAACGAAAAGTCTACTATCTGTCAGGTCACGTTATTACTGGCGATCAGCGTCACGTTACGTCACCTTACGTCAGTCAAATTAGTACACCAGCCAGTGCTGGCGGTCAGTTACACATAAAACACGAGGAAGGCACCGAGCGGCCATGAATGGATTCATTATCTCAATAAGACCACTGAAGTTAAAAAATATAGATGGGTTTTGCACGGTGAATTACATTTTATTAAGCTCATAGTACGGTGCAGTATGGTGGAAGTTCAAACACCAAAAAAATCCTTTACCAGCAGAGCCCAGGACCGAGAGGAGGCATGGAGAGGTGGGGAAAGGGAAGGGCGACACAGAAGGCTGGCTGGTTACCAGCCGTTGGTCGGTTCGCCCCCCAGCTCCCGGTGCGGCAACATCGAGGTTGGCGATGGCGAGGAAAGAGCCCCCGCAGAAAAGCACCAGAAGAAGGGGCTGGTTCGGTTTGTTGGTCTAGGTCTGGGCGCGGTTAGGCGAACCGCACACCGCGCCCCCTCAAGCTCGTGAGCTCGGATTCGGGTTCGGCGACTCGCGGGCAAAGGGAGAAACAGGCTCGAGGCGGAGACATCTCCTGGGTGCTGTGCTGGGGTGCTTGAGGGACATTCAACTGTCAAGATTCGCACTCCCCACACCTTCAGGAATGTGCGACTTTGTGCGACGACTTCGCAATTGCGACGACAGCTGTCGTGGTGTGATCGCCAAGTTGGTCAAGCGATGCAGCTACGATTGCACGACCCACACTGTTCAGGAGGTACGGGTACGGTACCGAACGAATGGAGAAATGTCGGCAGCAGGAAACCCGCTCGCGCGGAGATTTGGGCTGGGTGGGACCACCCTCCGCAGCTCGGGGGGGCTGGACAGAGATCTTTGCGGTCCGTTGTGGTGCGGAGAGAGAAGTCTGGTCCGGAAACGTAATCACACTGCGCACGCGTGCGTGGCGTGCGTGTCAGCCCCTTTGTTTGTCGAGATGTGGTACTGCTACGCGCCATTCACGAGGCTGCCTTTGCCGAGCCTCCATCCCATAGGCGAAGGTCCTTGTCGAAACTTCTATGAAACCGCTTGGAAATATTCCGAAAACGACGACTTGACCAGGCCTGCCCCAGCCTAACCAAATCATTACACGACAAAGCAATACACTGTTACTGAACGTAAGAAGCTTTTCCAGCTTCAGCTATCCATTTGAGTCCAAATACACTACCTTTTATGCAAATGTCAAAAGGCGATTCAAGTGCCCCCCTTTGAGCAGCAGGATCATTGCATTCACAGCTTGCTGCATCTGCAATAAATAAAAGAAGATTCAGATGGGAATGGAAAAGGGCAAATGCAGTCATGACAAATTCCATAAAGTGCACCAGAGAACTTACAGCCCTGCACTGACAACATTTTCCTCAGGGGGATAGACTGACCTGCAAAGGCGACTGTGGCGGCACGCTGACGTCCACGTCAAACAAAACAGGATGATCCTCCTCCGTCCGTTTCTTCGGGCAAAACAGCTTGACCCATACCTCTGCTGCTTTTCCATCATCCAATCTATTCACCCCATCCCCTTCCCCTTCGCCTTTATCCCCACTGCCATGTTTCTTGGGTCCCTTGTGATGCGGTTTTCGATCCGTTTGATCCTTGCATTGCTCCCTTTCATTCTTGCTTGAAAACTCTTCCTCACCCTCCCCCTCACCCTCCCCCTCACAACCACCCACATTATCTCCTTCCTTCTCTTCTCCCACCCTCTCTCCTTCACTCTCCACTTCACTCTCTTTCTCACTCCCTCCCTCCCTCACTCCCTCGCTCCCTCCCTCACTCCCTCCCTCACCGCCTTCTGCCTTCCGCCGCGCAGCCTCTCTCACGCTCATCTGCCCTCTCAGGACCGCCAACAACAGAGCGCCATCGGCATTGCCCAAGCTAACTGAAGGGATCTGTACTGCCACATTAGAAACCCCTCCCTCCGGGGTTTCTAATGCTGTTATTGGTTCTTCTCCTGCTGGTGATCCTTCTCCTTCTGCTAATCCTTCTGCTGCTGCCTTTAATCCTTCTTCTGATACAGCTGCTGATAATTTCCCTGGTGACACTCCATCACCTGCTGCTGATTCCTTAACAGACGTGACTGCATCCGAACCTGATCCTCCTGCTGCTTCCGATCCTTCTTCGGATGCGGCTGCTGATGAAGGGTTGCCTTTTCCTGATGACACTCCATCACCCGCTGCCATCAGCCCATCGGTTGTGACTGTTTCTGAATCCGTCCCTTCACCACCCTGCGACACTCCAGAATCAGGTGTGACTGTATCAGAATTTGTCCCTTCACCACCCTCTGACACCCCACCTTCATGTGTGACAGTATCAGAACCCGGAACATCAGGTGCCATATTGAGCGCCCTTCCCCCCATAACATGGTTGACAACAATCACAGCAGCAGCGCCTGCTCTCTGTGCTGCTACCACCTTCTGTTGGAAGGAACATCCCCCACGCATCACCACCACCACCCGCCCTTTCACCTCGCCAGGATTCGACAAGCGGTCCACACATGCTTGTATAGGGGATGCTTCTGCGAGGGTTCCAAGAATGGAGCTGGAAGGAGAATGGGGATCAGTGGAGGAAAAAGGGGCTTCAGTGCTGGTTGCCGCTGCTGCTGCTGCTGCATGTGCTGTTGTGGCGTCTACGATTCCTGATGTGCCCCTCTTTGCAGTGGCATCTGTCTCTGGTGCTTCTTGTCTCTCGTTCAGACTGGGACTGACAGCATCCACATCAGCACCGGCACCAGCATCAGCAGCAGCATCGGCAGCAGCATCGGCATCAGTATCCCCATACCCATGAAGATCACTACCTTCGCCAGCATCATCATAAACATCATCATCAGCAGCATCATCATTCAAACAAAAATCGTCAGCATCACCATAACCATCGTCATCACCAGCATCACCATCACCACCACCACCACTACCACCACCATAACTCCCACCATCACCATCACCACCATCACCCCCATCATCACCATTCCCAAGGAAAGGGCCAAACTCAGCAGCCCCTGCAGGCAGGTTTACACTCACAGTATCCACAAGCTCCTGCCCCCTCCCTCTTCCCCCCCTCCCCTCTCCTCCTCCCCTCCTCCCCTTTTCCGTTTCCCACCCCCCTTCCCCTCTTCCGCCACCGCTCCCCTCACCTCCCCCATCAGCTACCCTCTCCCCCTCACCCACCTCCGCACTCTCTCCATTCTTTCTCACCCCTCTCTCTTCTTCCCCTCTCTCTTCCTCACCCTCTCGCACAGTCACGTTCGTTTGATGTCCGGAGGAACTGTCATTCTCGGGTGGGGGGGAGTTAACCAGGCGCACCACACAGGGGGGCGCTGCTGGGACCTTGTGCTCTGAGAGAAACAGAGAGAAATAGGGGGAAATGTAAGCGGAAGGGGGGGAAAAAGCAAAGAGGAACGGGGACACTTGTGCTGGGTTGGGGGAATCCAGCCAAGCGCACCACACAGGGGAGCGCGGCGCGGCTTGCACGTGCTCTGGGGGAAACGATGGGGAAGAGGGAAGGGGTAGGCAGGGGAAGGGGGGAATGCACACTGGGCTGAAAAGAATCAAAACCAACCAACTAAGTGCATGCACACCGCACACACAGAGGGGCTCTGTTGTTGTGACCTTGTGCTCCAGGGGAATTGGTGAGGGATGGGGGGAGAGGGATGCGGGCAGGGAGCAAAGGGGAAGCATGGGGGGACACAACCATACAAGCAAACGCACCACACAGGTGGGTTCTGCTGGGACCTTGTGCTCCAGGGGAATTGGAGAGGGATGGGGGAGAGGGATGGGGGAGAGGGGTGGTGCCAGGGCAGGTGGGCTCTGCTGGGACCTTGCACTGGTTGGCCATGACTCACTGCACAGTACCCCTCCCGACCGCACCCAACCTACGCACAGCACTCACGGATATGGAGGTTGGCTGTTAGCGTCTGAAACCGGAGAGGTAGGGGAAGGCAGCAGGGAGGGCGTTCTAAGCACCCAACCACCACCACCCTTCCCAACCGCACCCCACACACAGCACTTACGGATAAAGAAGTTGACTGTTCGCGTTTGAAAGCCAGAGAGGTAGGGGAAGGCGGCTGGGAGGGCGTTCTAAGCAGTCAACCACCACCACCCATCCCAACCGCACCGCACCCACAGCACTCACGGATGTAGAGGTTCACTGTTAAGGTCTGGAAACCCTGAAGGTAGGGGAAAGCGGCAGGGAGGGCGTTCTAAGCACCCACCCACCACCACCCCTCCCAACCGGACCCCACACACAGCACTTACGGATATAAAGGTTCACTGTTAAGGTCTGGAAACCCTGAAGGTAGGGGAAAGCGGCAGGGAGGGCGTTCCAGGCAAAGCAGGAGGGGCCGTGTGATGGGTCCACCATGAAATAGCACAGCAGACGCTTGTTGCCCATGGCTCGCGACACCACCCCTCCCAACCGCACCCCAACCACCCACAGCACTTACGGATATAAAGGTTCACTGTTAAGGTCTGGAAACCCTGAAGGTAGGGGAAAGCAGCAGGGAGGGCGTTCCAGGCAAAGCAGGAGGGGCCGTGTGAAGCATCCACCATGAAATAGCACAGCAGACGCTGGTTACCAATGACTCGCGACACCACCCCTCCCAACCGCCTTCCACCCATAGCAGCATCACCAGTACCACCCGCACCAGCACCAGCAGCAGCGGCAGCGGCAGCAGCATCGGGAAAAATATTGTCCAGGTCTCCTGCAGGACACTGCCCCTGTTCACCCACACCCTCTCGCCCTGCTCCCTCTGCTCCCTCCTCTCCCCCTGCTGCTGCTGCTGCTGCTGCGACGGCGGCTGCCGCTAGTTGCTGCTCCCTCTGCCGCTCCTGGAATCTGATGAAGGAAGCAAGTCGAGACACCTCCTCCTCTAGAGGGCTCCTCCATCTCTCGTCCCTCCTCCCCTGCATCAGCCGCAGCCCTGCTGCTTGCGTTCTGAGTCGTCTCAACTCTCGTTCTCGTTGCATGTCCCTCTGCCGCTCGTCTAAGTTTTTCTCGGCCACTTTCTTCCTCCTCTCTCTTTCCCTAGCTCTCTCTAATCTCCGCTTTCTCTCGTCCCTCCCCATTCTCCGCTCTCTCCTCTCCCTTGTCTCCCTTTCTTCCATCTCCTTCAAACCTTCCTCCCTTGTCTCCGCTTCCTTCTCCCTTGAACCCTCCACGCTCCCCTTCTCACTTATAGCTGGCACTCTCTCTCCCTCCACATTACTAGCCACTCCACTCACCCGCACACCACTCTTCAATTCTCCACCCTCCACCCCTCCACTTTCCATCCCACTCTTGGCATCTCCCTTTTCGCCTGCTCTCCCTGCTCCATCTCTCAATCTCCCAACCCCACCCTCTCCCTCCGTCCTTTCCCCAACCTCATCCCTCCTTTCTTCCCCCTCTCCCTTCTCTCGTGCTTCCTCCTCGCCTCCTTCCCCCTCCCCACTCGCCTCATCCTCGTCCTCCCATGCACCATACCACCCCTTTCCTCCATGCTCATCCCTCCCAAACGTCCCCACCACTGCCTCACAAACCAGCTGTCGCCTTAAAGCCAAGTCCGGATCTACTAGAGAGCCCAGGGCGGAAAGAGAGTCCTCACACACGCGTGCCTCAAACGAGGGCTTGCGTGATTCAGACGAGGGTTTGCGTGACTCAAACGAGGGCTGTTGCTTCTCGAGCAAGGGGGGTTGTGACTGTTGTCTTTGTGATTCATCCGGGGGTTTCTGTGCCTCGTTTGGAGCCTGCAAGGGGGATTGCGACATGTCAGCATCCACATCAGTGTCCACGTCAGCATCCATGTCAGCAGTGGCAGCAACCACTCGGCAGTCGCCAGCTGGCGACATGTCAGGGTGGTCTTCGGACGGGCAGACGACACGGAAGATTCTGGGAAGGTTCAGCGACAGGAGATGACCTTCTGTGGAGAAAATGAACCGGGCGGAGATGTCGATGTGAGGGGAGAAGAGGAGGTAGAGGTACCTGGTGGGAGGGAGACAACAAGGAGTAACATCAAGTGTTGTTTGAGATGACTCAACTCAAAGCACACGGGGTTCAGGGAGAGGAGATGGCCCTCGGTAGAGAATACAAACTGGGCGGCGATGTCGATGTGAGGGGAGAAGAGGAGGTAGAGGTACCTGGTGGGAGGGAAAGAACAAGCAGTGCTATCAGATCAAATCAGACCGGATCCTGCAATAGCTAGTGAGGCGCCTCAGGTGGCGGTGTCGATGTGAGGTGAGAAGAGGAGGTAGAGGTACCTGGTGGGTGGGAGACAACAAGCAGTGATATCAGCAGTGACAACAACAGGCAGTGATATAAATGTGTTTTGAGTTGACATGAACACCCGCTTCGGGTGAGAGGGGATGATGACCTTCTGTGAAGAACACGAACCGGGCGGCGATGTCAATGTGAGGGGAGAAGAGGAGGTAGAGGCACCTGGTGGAGGAAAAGCAGCAATATCAGATTAGATCAAATTGAATCAGATCAAGCTATCGCCAGTTGATACTGTAAAATATCTTTCTGCAGCACTGATGTAAGTGTTTTTAGAGTAGGAACGACTCCATATGGCTGTCATGATTCTCTTACAACAGTTTATGGTCACTTATGAACCTCAAAAAGTAGCAATCACTGCAGCACATACGTGTTTCCGAGAGCAGAAATGACTTTTGAGGCGCCTCAAAAGCAATCACTGCAATGCTTACTTAAGTGTTTCAGAGAGCAGAAATGACTCCATGTGGTCGTCAAGGCGATGTGTCTGCACGTCGCCAACACTTGCAAACCCACAACCTGAAATGCACATGGAATGGAACAAAGGAGACAACATGTAAGGCGCATCAGTAGTGGCTTCTGAAGTCTACTAGAAAATGCATCTGCATGTCGCCAACGCTTGCAAGCCCACACTCTGTTGCTCGATTTTATCAAGAAAAGCACCTGTGCGTGTGACTGTGTTGAGGGCTGCAGCAATATCCCTCCCGATCTCCAGGTACGTGTGGTTGCCTGTGGCCTGGATGGGTGTGAGTCACGGCGATCAGGGGATGGTTAGTGGAATGGGAGGGCTTGCATTCCAGCTACATATGATTGCCCATGCAACCTCGGCCATCTCTGGTGCAAGACACAGCCCCTTTTAGTCGACTCAAAAACACCCTCGGCCATCTCTGGTGCAAGACACAACCCCTTTGTAGCAACTAGCACAGCCCAATGCTGCTCGCTTCTAGCAACAGCTCTTTTGTCAGGTGGGAATTAGAAAGGTGGAAAGAATAAATCAGCTCAGCCTAGGCCGCCGAGTTGACAAGATTGGTGACTTTTGAGTCCACTCAAAACTTGCTCCAGTAAGAAGGAAATGTTCTCCATTCCAAGGATTAGGAATTCTTGAAATTCCAGAATTTCATACCTGGAAGAGGAAGTACGCACTCTCTGCCATCTCAGGCCGCAGTGGGTATCCCCTCTCTCTCTGCACCCAACACTTCCTGTTTCGCTCCTCTTCCTAGTAAGGGGCGTGAATCTCGACCTCTCCCATCCCAAGTATTTCATACCTTGAAGAGGAAGTAAGCACTCTCTGCCATCTCAGGCCGCAGTGGGTATCCCCTTTCCCTGTGCACACATAATGAAAGAAAGGCATGGGGGCATGGCATGAATGGGCGCAATTTTTTAGCCACGGCATCTCCTTCTAAGTGCTGTTTAGCTCCTGAACCGTTACACGCACATGATATGGTACACCTTTGTAGTAGTAAGCATGGCATGGCGCCACTCCTCAAAGGGATATCTTTGCGCACTGCACTGCACTGCTTGGCACAACGGACGCATCACAGACAAGGCCCCCTATGCCATCGACCTTTTTCTCACCACTGAACCCTCGGGAAAGGTGCGGCAAGGCAAATGACAACGGGAAGGATTCCTTTCTATCCTGGGTGTGTTGTTCCTTGGTGTGTTGTCTCCTCTAAGAGGCGCCTCTCCTTTAAGAGGCGCCTCTCGGCGGCGGCCGGTGGTCTTGCCGTTCGTCGGGGGCCGGCGGCCTTGCCGTTCGTCGCCTTGCCGTTCGTCGGCGGCCGGCGGCCTTGCCATTCGTCGGCGTCTGGCGGCCTTGCCGTTCGTCGGCGGCCGGCAGTGTTGCCGTTCGTCGGCGCCCGGCGGCCTTGCCGTTCGTCGGCGCCCGGCGGCCTTGCCGTTCGTCGGCGCCCGGCGGCCTTGCCGTTCGTCGGCGCCCGGCGGCCTTGCCGTTCGTCGGCGGCCGGCGGCCTTGCCGTTCGTCGGCGGCCGGCGGCCTTGCCGTTCGTCGGCGGCCGGCGGCCTTGCCGTTCGTCGCCTTGCCGTTCGTCGGCGGCCAGCAACCGGCGGCCTTGCCGTTCGTCAGGGGCCGGCGGCCGGCAGCCTTGCCGTTCGTTGGCCGGCGGCCTTGCCGTTCATCACATTGCCGTTTGTCGGCGGCCGGCGGCCTTGCTGTTCGGCGGCTGGCGGCCATGCCATTCGTCACCTTGCCGTTCGTCGGCGGCTGGCGGCCTTGCCGCTTTCGGCGGCCGGCGGCCTTACCGTTGGTCGGCGGCCGGCAGCCGGCGGCCTTGCCGTTCGTCGGCGGCCGGCGGCCTTGGTGTTTGTTGTGGGCCGGCGGCCTTGCCGTTCGTCGGCGACCGGCGGCCTTGCCGTAAGTCGGCGACCGGCGGCCTTGCCGTTGGTTGACGGCCGGCGGCCTTGCCGTTGGTCGGCGGCCGGCGGCCTTGCCGCTGGTCGGCGGCCATGCCGTTCGCCAGCGGCCTTGCCGTTCGTCGCCTTGCCGTTCGTCGCCTTGCCGTTCATCGCCTTGCCGTTCGTCGCGGGCCGGAGGCCTTGCCGCTGGTCAGCGGGTGGCGGCCTTGCCGTTGGTCGGCCGGCGGTGGCCTTGCCGTTCGTCGCCTTGCCGTTCGTCGGGGGCCGGAGGCCTTGCCGTTCGTCAGCGGCCGGCGACCTTGCCGTTCGTCGGCAGCCGGCGGCCTTGCCGTTTGCCGGCGGCCGACGGCCTTGCCGTTCGTTGCGGGCCGGCGGCCTTGCCATTCGTCGGCGGCCGGCAGCCTTGCCGTTTGTTGGCGGCCGGCGGCCTTGCCGTTTGTCGGCGGCCGGCGGCCTTGCCCTTCATCGCCTTGCCGTTCGTCGGCGGCCGGCGGCCTTGCCGCTCGTCGCGGGCCGGCGGCCTTGCCGATCGTCGGCGGCCGGCGGCCTTGCCGTTCGTCGGCAGCCGGCGGCAGCCTTGCCGCTGGTCGGCCGGCGGCGGCCGCGGCCGGCAGCCTTGCCGTTCGTCGGCGGCCTTGCCGTTCGTCGGCGGTCGGCGGCCTTACCGTTGGTCGGCGTCCGGCGGCCTTGCCGTTCGTCGCGGGCCGGCGGCCTTGCCGTTCGTCGGGGGCCGGCGGCCTTGCCGTTCGTCGCGGGCCGGCGGCCTTGCCGTTCGTCGGCGACCGGCGGCCTTGCCGTTCGTCGGCGGCCGGCGGCCTTGCCGTTCGTCGGCGGCCGGCGGCCTTGCCGTCGGTCAGCGGACGGCGGCCTTGCCGTTGGTCGGCGGCCGGCGGCCTTGCCGTTTGTCGGCGGCCTTGCCGTTCGCCAGCGGCCTTGCCGTTCGCCAGCGGCCTTGCCGTTCGTCGCCTTGCCGTTTGTCGGGGGCCGGAGGCCTTGCCGTTGGTCGGCGGGCGGCGGCCTTGCCGTTCGCCGGCGGGCGGCGGCCTTGCCGCTGGTCGGCGGCTGGCGGCCTTGCCGTTCGCCGGCGGGAGGCGGCCTTGCCGCTGGTCGGCGGCTGGCGGCCTTGCCGTTGGTCGGCAACCGGCGGCCTAGCCGTTCGCCGGCGGCCGGCAGCCTGGCCGTTCGCCGGCGGCCTTGACGTTCGCCGGCGGCCTTGCCGTTCGTCGCCTTGCCGTTCGTCGGCGGCCGGCGGCCTAGCCGTTCGCCGGCAGTCGGCGGCCTTGCCGTTCGTCGCCTTGCCGTTCGTCGGGGGCCGGCGGCCTTGCCGTTGGTCGGCGGCCGGGGGCCTTGCCGTTCGTCGGCGGCCGGCGGCCTTGCCGTTCGTCGCCTTGCCGTTCGTCGGGGGCCGGCGGCCTTGCCATTCGCTGGCGGCCGGCGGCCTTGCCGTTCGTCAGCGGCCAGCGGCCTTGCCCTTCGTCGCCTTGCCGTTCGTCGGCGGCCGGCGGCCTTGCCGTTTGTCGCCTTGTCGTTCGTAGGCGGCCGGCGGCCTTGCCGTTCGCCGGCGGCCGGCGGCCTTGCCGTTCGTTGGTGGCCGGCGGCCTTTCCATCTAGATAGCACACTGCTTGGCACGTGCACCTTATTCATGCACTGTTACACGTACAACTTTGTACGTACATTAATAAGCCCACTGTTACACATACACCTAAATGCGCTCTCTGTTACATGTAAGCATCCATACATACACTGGATGAACGGCTGAAGCAGTCACGCTGAAAAGCTCAGGCAGGAAGGAAAACCTTTTCCACACTGCCCAGAGGCCACTGTGGATGACTCGGGCATCCGCGGTCTGCCCGGCAAGAACCTGGCGGCGGTGGCAGGCGGAAGAGAAGGGGGGGGGGGAAGAATGGAGGGGGTCAATGAGACTGGCAGGTGAGAGGTGGTGAATGGCCACTGTCTTGTACTAAGTGACAATTGAGTCGACTAAAAAATAATGCCTGGCAGCAAGAACGTGGTGGCGGTGGCAGGCGAATGAGAAGGGGGGGGGGGAACGAGAGTGGCTGGTGAGAGGTGGAGGATGGGCAAAGTCTTATACAAAGTGACTATTGAGTCGACTTGGAAAAAACATGCACAACGTGTTTACTTTTGAGTCGACTCAAAAGTCACCTAATTGCTGGGCAGCAATGATCTGAAGGCGGTGGCATGTGAAGGTAGTAATATTCACAACGTGTTTTAAGAGTGCACTCACTCACTGCATACCTGCATGGCAGGCACAGTGCTGCATCCCAGATGCTTGGTGGTACAACGTGTTCAGTGCACTCACTGCATACCTACATGGCAGGCCAGAACGCCTGGAGGGACGAGGCATAGTGCCGGCCCAAATGCCCGTTGTCTACGCCCACGTCTAGCAGCCAGCGCACCATACCCTCATACAAGCACTTGTATATCTCCTCACCAGCTTGTCTCATTTCTGCATACATACCTGCATGGCGGGCCAGAACGCTTGGAGGGACGAGGCATAGTGCCGGCCCAGATGCCCGTTGTCTATGCCCACATCTAGCAGCCAGCGCACCATGGACTCCCCCCGTACCGCCATATACCGCATTGCACCAGAATACACCTGCAAGCAACAGAGTGACGCCGCATGTAACAGTGGCGGGGATGTGGCATACGCCGCAAATGAGACAACATGATGTTGCGATGCTCCCAAAGAATGGAAACATATTGCACAATGCAGGCACTACTAGCTCTGACACAAGATCACAACGACATACATAGGCACCATCTGACAGACCTTGGAAAACATTCGGCGAAAAGTGCTCTTTCCCAGCAGCAGGTAGCCCTTGAGGAGGTACTGTGGGGAAGGAAGGGAGGGGGCGGATGGGAGAAGGAAGGCAAAAAAACATAGCCCTTGGACAACAGGGTTTTGAGACGTCCTAAACCTCAGAACAGGAGCGACGGTTCCCCTTGCCCAGTAGCAGATAGCCCTTACGGAGGTGGTCAAGTCAAGTCAAGTATACCCCTTGCTGTGAGCGGGGAAGGAAGGAAGGAAGGAGGCACAACGGGAAGGCAAGAAGACAGGTACTGCAAGCGGGGATGGAAGGAGTCAAAAACGGAAGGCAAACAGAGTAGGAAGGATCTAGTGGTTAGCCAAGGGAGGGACTGAAAGCGTCATTGAACGATGGAACGAGTGGTCACTAGTCACTGCCACCAAGGTAATCAGTCTTGGTGACCAAGACACCAAAGTAGTCAGTCAGGCATACACAGGTTTCACATTTGAGAGGGTGTTCACCATTTAAGGGATAGACTTTCACTGATTGCAGAATTCAGGGTGGTCTTATTATCTCGAAGATCAAGGTCAACACTCACCTCAAAGAACGAGTCAACGCCAGCTCCTCCTGCTGCTGCTATGAGGCGATTCAAAGATGTAGGGGAGAAACCAGGTCAACGCTCACCTCAAAGAACGAGTCAACGCCAGCTCCTGCTGCTATGAGGCGAACCTCTAATTCCTTTTTCAAAGTGAGTCTTGGATGTAGGGGAGAGACCGGGTCAACACTCACCTGAAAGAAGAAGTCAGCGCCAGCACCTGTCAGGGTGAGATGATTACCTCCAAGACCAGGTCAATGCTCACCTCAAAGAAGGAGTCAACGCCAGCTCCTGCTGTGGATTCCCGCTGCAGCCACACTCCTGAAAGAGACAAGGGGTGAGTGGGAGGGAAGGTTGGCGAGGAGAGTGAGAGTGGAACGAATGCGAGAGGGGAGAGCGAAAGGAGTGGGTCCATAGAGGTAGCATCAGATGAGAGAGTATGGGGAATGATGGAGGGGACGAGGGAGGGGGTGGAGGGCCATGTGCAAGCAGGGGATGACGGAGGGAGGGAAACAGGAAAGGAGTGAATGAGGGAGGAGGGAAGGAAAGAAGGACCCCCTTAGAACGGAGAGAGAGAGAGGGGGAGAGGGGAGGGAATGGGCAGACCTAAAGGTGCTCGAGCACCTGTGCCCACCTGATGTGCTGCTGATTCCATTGCCCACAAGGTTCAGGGGCGACCTCCTTCGGTACAGAACAACCACTGCTCAGCTCATTCACCGTTCACCTACCATCCTGCTGACGGCAATGCTGGGGTGTGTGCTCATATCACTCACCACCCACCTGACGTGCTGCTGATTCCATTGCCCACGAGGTTCAGGGGCGACCTCCGCCTGTACAGAGCAACCACTGCTGCCTCTGCCTTCTCCTGTCGGGATGAAACAAAATGGAACGAAATGGAAGTAAAATCAGACTTTCCCCGTGCAGGCTTTTACCGTGCGGGCTTTCCCTGTGCGGGCTTTCCCTGTGCGGGCTTTCCCCCGTTTTTGGGCTTTCCTGGAAGATGGGAATCCCTGAGAGGTTCGAGAGAGCACTGAACTCCAGCAGCACACTGCCGGCGCCGGCAGTGCACGCGTGTTGTGTGGCCCTGCTTGACCCATGGCCTGGTAACGTTCCCTAAGACACAGGGATGCCTGAGAGGTGTCTTACGTGGAAGATGGGAATGCCGGAGAGGTTCGAGAGCGCACTGAACTCCAGCAGCAGAGTGCCGGCACCAGCAGTGTGTGACTGGGAGACTGGGATCCAGTTTTCACGTGCATTGAGTTCAGTTTTCATGTGAGGGGTGTGACTCCTCACCTGGAAAATGGGAATGCCGGAGATGTTCGAGAGCGCACTGAACTCCAGCAGCAGAGTGCCGGCGCCGGCAGTGCATGTATGAGTGACGTCGTCTGGAAGAACTCCCCTCCGGAGATTCACCCATGCGTAGGGGATGGGCGTGCCTGATGAGAAGGCGGGGAGAAGTCTGGTCGATACAGGATGGGAAGAGAGGAAAGGGAAGGGCAGTGCAGGTGTGTGTGACGTCGTCTGGCAGAACTCCCCCCCGGAGATTCACCCACGCATACGGAATGGGTGTCCCTGACGAAAAGGCGGGAGAAGTCTGGAGGGAGGGGAGGGGGAGGAGGATGGATGGATGGATGGATGGATGGATGGATGGATGGATGGATGGATGGATGGATGGATGGATGGATGGATGGATGGATGGATGGATGGATGGATGGATGGATGGATGGATGGATGGATGGATGGATGGATGGATGGATGGATGATGGATGGATGGATGGATGGGTGGGTGATCTCGTCTAACAGCACTTCCCTTTGCGGGTTCACCCATGCGTAGGAATCCAGAATCTCACCTGAACCCCACCTGAATCCCACCTGAACCCCACCTGAAAAGTTTAAAATCCCACCTGAGACTCACCTGAAGCCCAGATCAATAGCCAGCTCCAGCAGACGGCCCTTGTACCCAGGTGCCAGATGCACGCCAGCCAATGAGGGATGGACAGGTGGCAGCGTGGGGTCGTGGCTTTGCAGGATAAGCATGTGGGCGGATAGGAGGCTTCCCAGAGCCCTTATGTTGGCCTCAAATACATTTCTGTGGGGAGCGAGAGGGAGAGAGCAAGGGGAAAATCCATTCAGAAAGCACAGGGTATATAGAGCCACAGGTAGTGGGTGGAAGGTGAGAGAAAACGGTTTGGGGGTTTGACGAGGGCTTGGGAGGGGAGGGAAGTAGTTAGAGGCAGAGGAAAAAAGGAGGGGGGGAGCATTGGAGAGAAACAGAGGCAGCGAGAGGAAGGGAGAGGAAGGGGCGAGTATGGAACACACACGCAAATGTCTGGATCGAAGGAGAGGTGCTGAGTGCGAGGGGAGGGAGAGAAGGAAGAGAAGAGAGGGGCATGGGAGAGGGAGGGGCGAGTATGGAACACACACGCGTATATCTAGGTCGAAGGAGAGATGCTGAGAAAGGTACTCCACTCCCCAGTTGAACTCTGATACGTTGCCCAGAAGCTGCAAGGGTAGGGAGGTGGGGGTGGGCCCCGTGGGGTGCATGGAATGGAAGAACATAGAGGGAGGGGGGATGAGGCAGGGCGTTGAATCGCCTTGTGAAAGGAGAGGTGGTGAGAGAGGTACTCCACGCCCCAGTTGAACTCTGATACGTTGTCGAGAAGCTGCAAGGGGGAAGGTGGGGGGATGGGCGAAAACATACCATGCATTGATCCTGTGCTCTCACCACCACCTCACCAGCAGCAGGATCTCCATGACTTTTGAGTCGACTGACTTTTGAGTCGACTGACTTCTGAGTCGACTGACTTTTGAGTTGACTGACTTCAGAGTCGACTGACTTCTGAGTCGACTGACTTCTGAGTCGACTGAATTCTGAGTCGACTGACTTCTGAGTCGACTGACTTCTGAGTCGACTGACTTTTGAGTCGACTGACTTCTGAGTCGACTGACTTCTGAGTCGACTGACTTCTGAGTCAACTGACTTTTGAGTCAACTGACTTTTGAGTCAACTGACTTTTGAGTGGACTGACTTTTGAGTCGACTGTCTTTTGAGTCGACTGACTTTTGAGTCGACTGCCTTTTGAGTCGACGGACTTTTGAGTCGACTGGCTTTTGAGTCGACTGGTTTTTGAGTCGACTGGCTTTCGAGTCGACTGACTTTTGAGTGGTCTGACTTTTGAGTCGACTGCCTTTTGAGTCGACTGCCTTTTGAGTCGACTGCCTTTTGAGTCGACTGCCTTTTGAGTCGACTGGTTTTTGAGTCGACTGGCAATTGAGTCGACTGACTTTTGAGTCGACTACCTTTGCTCTCCATGCGCACCATAGCCATGCCATCACAGGGGTTGGATCCAGAGCAGAGGAGCAAGCGAGAAAGGGTGCTACCGCCAACTGCAGCCACACAGAGACCCACTCTACCTGCCACCAACCCTCACCAGCAGCGTGCCAAGGCTCTCCATGAGCGTCATAGCCATGCCACCGTAGAGATTGGATTTGGAGAAACCGAGCAAGCGAGGAACTGAGCAGGTGAGCAAGTAAACCAACAGATGCAGACACATTCAGACAGGGAACCATAATCGCCTCACCAGCAGCGTGCCTAGGCTCTCCATGAGCGTCATAGCCATGCCACCATAGGGATTGGAGCCAGAGCAGCTGGCAATCAGGAAACAAGGGAAACACGGGGAAGCAATGGGGGCAAGGGATGAGTGAGGGGAGAGAGGTAATAGAGGACGAAAAGAGCCAGCCTGAAATTTTGTAAGAAATGCGCCTGCACCACACGACCAGACTGACTTAGGGAACAAGCTAAAGCGACCAAGCTGCTGCAAAGGAGGCTGGCGGTCAGGGCAGAAAGATGTTGACAGTGAGAGCGAGAGATGACTTTTGAGTCGACTCAAAAGATGTTGACAGTGAGAGCGAGAGATGACTTTTGAGTCGACTCAAAAGATGTTGACAGTGAGAGCGAGAGATGACTTTTGAGTCGACTCAAAAGATGTTGACAGTGAGAGCGAGAGATAGAGAGACATGCAGCAGATGCAAGGCGCAACACCTGAGAGGCTTCAGCTCGTCTTGTGGAAAGGCGAATCGCTTGTAACCGTCATACGCATGATAGAACATCTCCTCTACTTGATGCCTGCAAGGAGATAGAAGGAAACTCACTTTCAGTCAGAAAACATGGTGCATGCATGTTCAATTCTAAAGGTTCCTGGGAGAAGGGGTTGAATCGAAAGGAGGACAGACATGCGATGCTTTGGAAAGTCGAGGCACTGGAATCCCTATGGTGACATGCTCGTGGAATCACTGAATTCGTGAGAATAACAGTGAGGGCCATACCTGCATCAGGTCAATGATGGCAGAGCAACGGGAGATAAAACCATGATAGAGAATTTCAAGCCATCATGCTATGAGAGCGTGACTGACTGACTGACTGACTGACTGACCTCATGGCAGTCACATTCACTTCAGATAGCGTGCTCGACTCTCCGTCCCTTATCACATCCTCCGATTGCGTCACACCCTGCTCCAATTCAGTCACGCCAGCCTCAGATTCCGGATCGTCCGCTCTGCTCTGCTTCTGACCCGTTTGCGCATCGCTGGAATCAGCTAAAGGAGGAACAGAACCGTCGGTAGCAGCAGCGTCAGTGGGGACAGCAGAGTCAGAAGCAGCAGCTACGCCCTCCGCAAAAATATCGCTCTTGCCCTCTGGTGCAAATCTCAAGTTTTGTTCCTCGCATGTTTGCTTGGTCGCGCAAACATCGAGCGTTCCGTGCTCTTGCCACGTGGACGCTGCTGATTGGTGGTCCAGCAGCAGGACTGCAATCAGCAACAGGAGAGGAGCGAATCTTCGTAGACGCGACATTGAGATGAGCACGGGGTGACTGGAAAGAGTGTGATCGAGATCCGACGACGGTCAACAATCCAATCGGCTCTTCTGACAAATGTTGGACATGTCAGACTGCCGAATCCACAGGATGACGTGGCTGGATGACGTGTCTATGCGCCGCCCCTAACGTAGCGGTGCTATGTCGGCTCTTAATTGCGAAGCCCTAGCAATAGGTTAATGAACAACGGAACTGACAACAACCAGGTAAGGGATTTAACAACTGAAGCATCCATGAATACCGGAAATTAAGGAGTCGCTGATTCTGTCACCATTCTGTCCCTGAACTGTAACCATCTAACGTTGGGTAGGTCCACAGCTTACAGTATCACCTAGCATTGAAAAGAGAGCACCACTGAAGTCGATGCGACGGGGCACTAAACACTAACGGCTCGCTAGCCGGATCGCCTTCCTGATCAATGATGAGTTCCCTATGCTAGGCGTTTCTAGGAACCCAGAAATGAACTGGGACAACATCAAGGGCGCTGTTCTGTAGGCGTTAAAATTCCAAAAACTGGGTCCGCAGAATCTTCGTTGATAAGTGGTCTTCTGCCTATCAAGGTTTGGTGATAAGAAAGGTCCAGCCGAGCCTGTTTGCGCCAAATTCAACGCATCAGCCTGCAGAACGCCACTTTTGGGGCGCACGAATTTAACCGTCTGCAGGCTCGAAGTTGTTGCTTCGCCGGGCAAATGGCCGCACTAGTGCGGTGCTAATTCTACCTCGGGAGCTAGCATCAGCCTCCGCACATGTTGGTGATGTTCGCCAGCAAATCGTTTCTTCAACAGAAAACGATGGCATCAGGGCGCATTCCCGGCCTCGGGTCTTCCGGGCGTTTGGATCTTCCTAAATTATGGGATCCAATCCCAAAATTCAAAGCTCGAAACACGGACTTTCTGATTGGATCCCACAATTTCGGAAGACCCAAACACCGGAAGACCCGAGGCCGGGTGTGCGCCATCAGCATTGCGACCGCATATGGAAACGGGGGCGGACCCTCCTCCGAGGTTTGGGCGAAATACCGCTCGAGAAACTACGAGCGCCCGAAAGGCGAATTTTCTCAACCGCATCGAGAAGGTCCATCCCCACCTTCCCCCCAATGGCGCGAAATTCGCTCATCCATGACCCTTGTGCTGCCCGCTGACCAAAAATTGCTCAACGTGGGTTAAAAACGCAAATAAAACACACCCCGCTCAAACACAACCCCCGCCACGGTGTGTTTGGGAGGGAAAAATGGGGGGTATACGAACCCCCCTTTGTTAAACTGCAGGCCTGTTCAAGGGCTACCCGCTGAACAGCAATGCGTCGGCTGTGCCACAGCTGTGCGTTTGTTAAAAACGCAGCATGACGATGGCTTGGCTAGGGGATGGCATTTTGCCTGGGGACGAAGTTTTGTCCCCGCTTCCAGATGTCGTCGAACTGTTAGATTTGGTGGAGAAAAGTGGGCATTCGCCAGACGCCCACTTTGTTTGTTGGTTTGGACGGTAGGTGAGGCTCGGCTATTTTTTCACGGGCTGACCAAGCTGACGGAGGTTAGCGAACTCTAACTGACGGGATCAGGAAGGCGAGACCCACCTTCCTGATCCCGTCGTTATCCCGTGGTTTTTGGATATAATTGTGCTGGCGAACAGCACCGTTATGCGAGGCAGCAACATCCGCGCAACGCAACCAGGATGAATGCGCCTAGAAAATGCACGGAAGGCTACCGCGGTCAAATTGGTGCGGAACCCAAAACGCCTGCAGAACAACGCCAAGGTTGTTCTGTGAAAAATTGGCCTGACTGATCACGGGTGAAAGAAAGCGTCTGGTCGTACACAAAACACGCGAAAACTGCGAATTAGTGCAACTGGGATGTAACAGGAATCAACACTCGTGGCAGTCGATTGTACATTTCTCGTCACGGTGAGCGAGCGATTGGCCAGGATCGTGATAGATGGAATGTATCGCTGTACTGCAAATTAGGAGATTCGATACATGCACAGAATACGTGCTGGGAACTTATCAGTAAGCTACTTATGCAACTTATGCATATGCTCATTCAAGTCCTCATAATACTGATTTGGCAAGGGATGGTGGGAAGGTCATCTAAAATCATATAATGTAACATGAGTGGAAAAGCACACGCAATATCTGCCTTAAAACTAATCAGCCAATCCATCATTCCTGTAAATTATGTACACCGCACAGCGTCAGGTGATGGCTGCTCCCCCCAGCACGGGACAAGCCCCGAGGCACCCTCGTTACAAGAACGAAAACCGCTGGCAGAAACAGGAACGACGGAGGCCGAGCAACCCTAGTCTAAAATTAAAGATGAACGGCGAGAGCCTAAAGCACCCAAATGGGATCGTGATGCCAACGGATCTGACTGCTGCGGCTGAAGGCTGTGAACGCGAGCAGGTCCGAGCAAGCAGATAACGTGATGGAGACAACGGACGAACCACTCAAAGGCGGAACGAGGCTCGGATCAGCGTACCAATCAAAGGGTGCGAATGAGGCGAGCGGCTTCGTAGCAGTGAGCGGTGGCGAGGGTGAGAGTAGCGGCACGTGGAGGTCGCTCGTGGGCCGATCGCATGCCGTCGATGTCCTTCTCGAGTTCGGCTAAGCACCGCTCGACCTGCATCTCCTTCTCGCACCACCTCTGTCCTCCTTGCACACCCTGAAAGTAAAACAAGAAACACAAACCGACACGAATCTGTCAGAAAAAGTCTATGCGGGTACACAAGATCAAAGCTGGTTCGTCCAGTGAAGTATGAGGTCTCGGAGGACAGCCTTCGCAATTTTCGTCTACACGGGAAATGGCGAAAACGGCTCCAATCACAGGCATCAGGCTTTTGTAAAAACTACTTACGTGAACGGGGTGACCGAGTAGCGCGTTGAGGCCAAGGTGAACGCGCTCGACCACCGTCGCACCCGCTGCTGCGAGAGAGTCGCCGGACACCAGAGCGTCGCCGGCTTGCTCGTTGCGACCGTTGGCCTGAACGTGCTGCAGCATGCGACCGTAAGACTGCAGAAACTGCGACATCGCCTGGTTTGACGGGAAGACCGGGGTCGGCGGGAGAGACTCAGTCGGGTAACCAGAGTAATAGTCGGAGGAAGTCGGCGCCGGCATCGCTATCGCCATGGCGTTCGTGGCGACGGATCGTGAGGACGGGGAGGCGTCGGCTCTAGGAGTAAGGCGGAAGGAGGTGGGTTGTGCAGGTGGGGTGTTGCATTTGTCACTGAGAAGGGATTTAGAGAGAGCTGCGCTCGATGGAATACAGGTGCGCGCGAGAGTCATTGAAGCAGCGGCCATGTCGCAAGCTTGATGTGTGGAACTGTGGAGCTAGGGCGAATAGTAGCACCAGTCAGTGAAGAGTGAAAGCAAAAACGGACAGGAAAAGATATGAACTTTTAACAAGGTGAGTGATTTGAGTTGAGCAATATATACTTCTCCAGAATCTCCATGCAAGAAACTCTGCTTTGGTTTTGGGAAAGTGAAGGCAAAAGCAAAACGCAGTCAAACAAGGAGGAGGAGCAGTGGACAGCAAGGTTGTGTACGGTTTGATACGATGTAGTACGTCATTGTAAAACAGCTCAAGGTGGCGTTCTTGTGCCTTCCTCATCATGCCATTCGCGAAAGTGGTTGCGAAGCTCCACTACGAGGGCCACCACCACATGCGGTTCACGAAACAAAATCCACCGCCACGCTGACTTTCGCTGGTGATGTGTCACTCACTTGCGGAACCGCGACATTCCCGCAGTGACGTGTTGTGGGGAAGCTGCCTGCGAGGGTGCCGATTTGATTGGTGCGGCGCGTGATCGTTCTCTGGTTGTTGAGTGGAGGGAGGTTGCGTGCCATCGGCGAGTTGATCGAGTCAGACGAGTAGCCAACGGGTTTCCGAAGAAAGAGCACCGATGAGGTGGATGGGCTTCTGACCACCACAAAAAAAAAAGTGCATTCCAGCGGCGAAGTGTCAACGAATTGGCGCAGGAGCGGCCACTGTTTATCCAGTAAAATCGACATATTTCGAAGGCATGTGGTTGAGCTGTGCTGCGCTGGCAAAAGTGAAGCGTTGTTGCCCAGCTAGGTACAGTACACGTAGTAGGTAGGTGCCACTTTTGCTCAGCGCTTTGGTGATTCTACGTGGCCGTTGGTTGGCTGGGAAACTGATCTCATTTTTATTGGCTATTCAAGAGTCGCAAGAAGAATCTCAGGACGCGGTGAAAGTGCTCGATCGGGGGTAGATCGATTCGGTCACCGCACAAAACCCCGCTTTTTGGACACGAAAGATACACAACCTTTTATAACCGCGCTAAAAAACGATCCTTAGGCGATCGATTCTCCACTTCCACCACGTCTTCATATCACCTCTCCGAGCCACGCCTCTCTTCGTCGCGGAACCACGCATGAAGCCCCCACCTTAGCGGAGACTTGCGACTCAAAACCTTCATTGGAATCACGCAATGTTCGCCCGTTTCACGCAAAACCCGTTGTTGCCGCTGTCTGGATGATTCTGACCCCTGACGATTTATGTACATGGTCGCTGTGCTCCGATTAGGACAAAAAAAGCATCTTACAGATGCACTTCGAATCCTTTAAATGTTCAATATATTGCTCACATCACTTTTGTGAAAAAAAAAAACTCAATTCCTCCATCGAACAGAATCTCTAGTGCAACCTCTGAAAATAACACACTTGGAGTCTCATGACGAATATCCCCTCTCGCCATAGCAGGTATGTGAGCATCCTTGCACTAAACTCCCTGGGAACAGTGAGATACAGCCTGATAGAGCATTACAACACGTCACTGTTGGTCATGCACTCACCACCCATGAGCAATGAACACGCACAACTTGTCCATGCGTAACAGTCATGAATGGTCATGTGCAATGCCCGGGCAACAAAACTGCATCTGTGACATGCAGGGAGTGTATCTGTGACATCCAGAGAGTGCATGTGTGACACGCAGGGAGTGCATGTGTGACATGCAGGGAGTGCATGTGTGAGACGCAGGGAGTGCATATGTGACATTTGGGACATATACGAATGAATCTCCACGCTGCTTCAGACAGAACCTGTTCTGCGACCCAGTGAAGTTGCTTGTTGCACTCCTGCTTCCACAACTGCTGCTACCGGCACTTGTGCCGGAGCTTGGGGGGGAAACGTGGTGAGCGAAGGGCACTTGTAACGAGTATGAGGTGGGAAGAGGGAACAAGGAGCAGGGGGTGGGGAGAAAGGGAAAGGAGGGGAGGGGATGGGGGTTGGGGGGAGGGGGGGGAGGAGGAAGAGAAAAGGACTAGAAAGTAGCATAACCACATACACTCTCCTCAGCGTGATCAAAAGATGTGGTGGAAGGGAAGGAAGAACGGGGGAAGGCGGGGGAAACTTTAAAGGATGCTGCTGAAAGGGGTGAGGGAGGGAGGGAAGGCGGGGAAACCCTGAAAGATGCTGCTGAAAAGAGGGAGGGAGGAAGACGGGGCAGGAGAGACCCTGAAAGATGCTGCTGAAAGGAGGGAGGGAGGAAGAAGGGGCGGGAAAGACCCTGAAAGATGCTGCTGAAAGGATGAAGGGAGGAAGAAGGGGCGGGAGAGACCCTGAAAGATGCTGCTGAAAGGATGAAGGGAGGAAGAAGGGGCGGGAGAGACCCCGAAAGATGCTGCTGAAAGGAGGGAGGGAGAAAGAAGGGGCGGGAGGGACCCTGAAAGATGCTGCTGAAAGGATGAAGGGACGGGGAAGGCGAAGAAACCCTGAAAGATGCTGCTGAAAGGATGGAGGGAGAGGGGGGGAAACCCTGAAAAATGCTACTGAAGCTCTCCGGGGTGGAAGGAGCGAGGGGGAAAGAAGGGGGTTAAAATGCTGCTGAAACACACTGCAATCGCGTAGGGACAGTGTCCGCGAAAGGGAGAGAGGGAGGGAGGAAGGGAGGGAGGGAGGGAGGGAGGGAGGGAGGGAGGGAGGGAGGGAGGGAGGGAGGGAGGGAGGGAGGGAGGGAGGGAGGGAGGGAGGGAGGGAGGGAGGGAGGGAGGGAGGGAGGGAGGGAGGGAGGGAGGGAGGGAGGGAGGGAGGGAGGGAGGGAGGGAGGGAGGGAGGGAGGGAGGCAGGGAAACCCCGAGAGAGGCTGCTGAAGCACCCTGCAATCGCGTAAGGGACAGTGTCCGCGAAGGCGATAAGGGGAGAGAGGGGGGACGGGGGGGGGGGAGGGGGGAGGGGGGGGGCGGTGGGAAGGGGAAAGGGAGGGAGGAGGAAATGCTGCTGAAAGTTCCCCCAACATTCGAGGAGAGTGGGGAGAAGGAACGGAGGGAAGGGGGAGACGGAAAGGGGTGGGCAGGGAGAAACGGAACCTGTTAGGCTTCGCCCTCAGCCGAAATATTTCACAGACACTTAGCGCGAGTAACCAGCGCGAGTTACCAGCGTGAGTTACCAGCGCGAGTTTTTCAGGGCGAGATACTCGCGCGATTGCAACTTACCAGCACGAGACCAGCGCGAGTTACCAGCCTGTGTAACCGGCGCGAGTCACAAGCGACAGTGCGCCTTAGGGATTGCTGAAAAATCGGTGGAAAGTTCTTGATAAGGAATCGTATTTTCGTTCGACGGAAATTTATGTTCGAAAACCAAGTCTGCGCCTCTAGGCGAAAGCACTCTCAACCTACTAACTGCCAAATGCCGGAATGTACAGGAAGCATTCGCGACCTTACTACCGCTATTCGCAACGATGCTTGAGTGACGTTCGTAAATGACGTACTAAATATCAGAAGCGAGACAACACTAAGGTACGAGGCGTGATACTCGTCGCTGCGGTTCTAAGGAATGAGACAGTACTAAGAAAGCCAAATGTAAAATGTGAACGCCAATATCTAGATCTAAAATCGGAAGCGGGAGAGCGTGCGGGTTGTGCGCAGCAGCGTGCGAGAGCTTCCATTGAATCGCCTCGCGTGCTTTTACCCATTGCGACATGTGGCGACAACTTTCAATCTGTTTCGCATCCCTTCGCTCCAACAAATCCCTTCGCTGTTTCGATTGGATCCAGCGATTTTCCACTCAGCTGACCACATCATTCTTCTTGCTGGAGTTGCGTTATGACATAAATCTGAAATCCTTCACGAGCTATCTCTTTCTAAAGCTACGATCTGAAATCCCTCACGAGCAATCTGTTTCTAAAGCTACGATCTGAAATCCTTCACGAGTATATGGAAGTAGCGGGAGTATCTCCCATGGGCGCTTCCGTCAGCAGGCAAACGAGCAAGCAAACGGAAGGGTGATACGATCCATGCGACAAAGGTTTCTGTCGACGCACAAACCGTAGGAGCATGAGCGATTGCCACGCAGTGAACATATGGAGATAGGTTCTTAGCGCTTTCTGCGGCACGTTTCAGCAAAAGCAACAGCTGGGAACGCGCGGTGCGTTGTTTATCTCTTTCGCCTTATCTCGCCATGGAAAGCTTGCGCTTTTTAAATTGAGTCTTCCTTTTTTTTTGGGGGAATCTAACGTGTTTTCCGCATCGTTCATGGTTAATGTCTCTTTAATGGCTCGTTTCAAGAGACTTTTGAGAGGAGTGGATTCAGAGGAGTGGATTCAGAGGAGTGGATTCAGAGGAGTGGATTCAGGGGAGTGGATTCAGAGGAGTGGATTCAGAGGAGTGGATTCAGAGGAGTGGATTCAAGAGGAGTGGATTCAGAGGAGTGGATTCAGAGGAGTGGATTCAGAGGAGTGGATTCAGAGGAGTGGATTCAGAGGAGTGGATTCAGAGGAGTGGATTCAGAGGAGAGAATTCAGAGGAGTGGATTCAGAGGAGTGGATTCAGAGGAGTGGATTCAGAGGAGTGGATTCAAGAGGCTAATGTCGTTCATGGTTAATGTCTCTTTAATGGCCCGTTTCAAGAGGAGTGGATTCAGCATGCTGACAGCACGTTCAGCAGCTTACTCCATTCCCCGCTCTCTCCCCTCTCTCTCCCCAACTTCCTCCGTTCCCCCCTCTCTCCCCTCCTTCCCTCCCGTCCCTCCCCGCCCTCCCCCCTCCCTCCCCCGCTCCTCTCCCCCGCTCCTCCCCCCTCTTCCCCCCGTGCGCGCTGTGGACAGCCAGCAGTCCTTTCCCCCGTGCGTGTCGGAGTGGCGCAAGGCGGAGCTGAGCTCGTCGTTCATTCCCCCCGTGCGCGCTGTGGACAGCCAGCAGCTCTTCTCAAAGCCATCGGAGCTGGCGGTGCAGGGCCCGCGCAAGGCCCGCGCAAGGCGGAGCTGAGCTCGTCGTTCGTGGCGGTGTGGTCTGCATGAGGTGCTGCGCGAGGTGCTGCTCAAGGCCCCGCTCAAGGTCCCTGCACGAGTGGTCCTAGCTGCACCCATCCGCACCAACGCCAACCGTGCTCCCCTGCAGGTCACACCCCCGATGGCTGCCTGGGAGGGACAGGGGGATGGGGAGTGGAGGGATGGGGGGAGAGGGTGGGGTGGGGTGGGGTGGGGTGGAGTGGGGTGGGGTGGGGTGGGGTGGGAGGTTGGAACCGAAACTGTCTGTGCAAACTCGCCTTTGGCTTCTGCCCCCCCTTCCCACGCCTGGTTTCTCAACCTCCCTCCCTCATCCCTCTCTCCTTTCTTGCACCCACACCCTTAACTTGACATTGCGAACATAACGAGTAATGGCATGTTCCTGAACCTCGGGTCGCTGCTGCTTCTTTCTTTGTTGTTATTTGTTTCACCTCAGGACAAACAATGTTTAAGGCGCGTCATCTCCTCCCTCCCTTGCACCCTGCATGTGAAGAGGAGCGGATTCAGCATGCTGACAGCACGCTCTGCATGTGTGCGAGCATGCTGACAGCACGCTCTGCATTTGGCAAAGAACACTGCATGTGTGACATGCAGGGAGTGTATGTGTGAGATGCAGAGAGTGGTGAGATGCAGGGAGTGTATGTGCGACATGCAGAAAGCGTATTTGTGACAAGCAGGGAGTGTGATGTGTGGGGAGTGTGTGTGTGACATTCAAAAAGCGTATGTGTGACATGCAGGGAGTGTATGTGCGACATGCATAATGGGCGTTCTTCTAACAACTGACAGACGGGTGCAGCATGTGCAAGGCGCATTGGAGTCATGTTGACCCAAAAAGGTGAAAGTGTAAAAGATGGTGACAACTGGTAACTATGGGATGAGTCGTCTTCACCTTTATGTTGCCATTGGGGGCAGCGCAATTATGCTGTCTGATAACCTCAATTCACTGTGGGGGAGGGGGGGGACAAATTCTTGCATAGTTTCCCACCAGCCTTATTTCACCAGCCTGCCAGGGTTTCTGTCTCCTCCTTTACCATTGGCACTGCTTCCCTCATACTCTCCACCCCACCCCATCCATGTACCTGAACTGTCCTTCACCCTATTGAGCCATTCCCTCCACTTTCCACTCACCTTGCTGCTCCTGGCTGATGCAAGGGCAAGCGTGTGGGCGATGGGCTGCGTCTTGAAAGACATGGAATGGCAAGTTGATATTAACGTAGCTTACTGTAAGGAATTTTCTCGGCATTCCTTACGGAGCCCGACTAGGTACATCGCGTACAGCAACAGCCGTTGTTCGCCCGTTACTGCTAACGGAACTTCGCCGACTTCGCGCGCACTATTTCACCAAGCCTCGCACTACTGGCTGTCAAATGTTGTAGCCTGTAGTGAGGTTTGTCTTAGGGGGTACAGAAGTTAGGGTTTGTCATATGTACCCCAACCAACATCAATGCAACACTCATTCCTCATTCTGACATGGTATCAGCTAGGTTAGGGTCCTGTGGGATCCCGTTCCTCCGTTCTCCGTTCGTACCTCCCGAGCCTGATCCTACCTCTCGTTCGTACCAGTTTCGTAGTTACCGCGCCTAGTACCGAGCCTAGCGTCATCTCCCCCGTCGCGTCACGCCTGTTCCCCCCCCCGTCGCGTCACGCCCGTTCCCCCCTGTCACGTCGCGCCCGTTCCCCCCGTCGCGTCGCGCCCGTTCCCCCCGTCGCGTCGCGCCCGTTCCCCCTGTCGCGTCGCGCCCGTTCTCCCCCGTCGCGTCGCGCCCGTTCCCCCCCGTCGCGTCGCGCCTGCCTGTTACCCCCCCCCGTCCCGTCGCCCTGTCCCGTCGCGTCGCCCTGTCCCGTCGCCCTGTCCCGTCGCCCTGTCCCGTCGCGTCGCCCTGTCCTGTCGCGTCGCCCTGCCCTGTCCCGTCGCGTCGCCCTGCCCTGTCCCGTCGCCCTGTCCCGTCGCGTCGCCCTACCCCGTCGCGTCGCCCTGCCCTGTCCCGTCGCCCTGCTCCGTCGCGCCGCCCTGCCCCGCCGCGTCGCCCTGTCCCGTCGCGTCGCCCTGCCCCGTCGCGTCGCCCTGACCTTTCCCCCGTCGCGTCGCCCTCCCTAGGCCCTGGCCTGTCGCTCTTCCTAGGCCCTGGCCCGTCGCCCTACCCTAGGCCCTGGCCCGTTGCCCTACCCTACGTCTTGGCCCGTCGTCCTAGCCCACTCTTCCGCTGCGACTGAGTCCTCTTCCCCCCCCGGTTGTTACTCGCCTGTTCGTTCTCACTATGGCGACTCCGCGAGTTCTTCGTTTCGACGCCGACGGTAGACCCCTTGACTTTTCCGTCTGGCTTCTTCGCGCTCGTCGTCTGTTAGAGAGTCAGGTCCAGGGGGGCGAGACCCTCTGGTCACACGCTACTGGTGACCTCCCCGAGCCCCCCGAGCCTACAACTTTAGGCCCTGCTCCTGACGATGCTGCTACGGCTCGCTTTGCCCGTCAGCGCGCTGACCGGACGGCTTGGACGTCGCGTGACGCTGCGGCCTGCATCGCACTCAGCAGCCTCCTCCCTGAGTCCGAGGAGGTCCACTTTACTCAGGTTCGCACCGCTGCTGCGTACCTCACTGCGATTAAGGCCCGCTACTCTACTCCCGCTACTGTCTCTCTCGGCCGTCTTTTCCTCCCGTTCCTGTTTCCTGATCTTGCCTCGTTTGAGCGCTCTGCTGACTTGATCGCTCACCTCCGCTCGCTTGACGCTAGTTACCGCGCTGCTTGCACTGAGGCACAGCTTGCACTGCTTCCTCCCCCCATGGCGATTACTGTCTATTTCATCGCCACTAGCCTCCCTGACCGCCTTGCCTCCGTTCGTGACGCGCTTCTGCTGACGCACCCTAGTGAGCTGACTATCGAGGTCCTTGAGTCTGCACTCAAGGATGTCGAGAGCAACCTTCGTTCGGTAGCTGCCGCCTCTGGTACTGTATCCCCCCCACTCTTCCACGGGTGCACAGTCCCGCAGTTACCCACCTTCACTGCCTCTCTTGCCACTGCCGCTACTGACGCGACTGCGGCTGCTGTTACGACTGCGTCGCGGTCCCGCGGCAGGGGGGGCAAGAAAGGTGGTTCCGGTGGAGGTGGAGGCGGAGGTAGCGGAGGTAGTGGGGGTGCTGTTGCGACTGGCGGTGGTGGGAGTGCAGCGTCTGGAGAGACCCCTCGTGCAGCGGCCGGTGACTCCACTGCACCTGCTGGTGGCAGCGACCCTCGAGCTCGTCAGTCGCCTCCTGTACTGTCGGCCCCGCTAGGTGGAGCAGCGGCGTGGTACCAGGCTCAGCGTCAGCAGCACCTTCAGCAGCAGCAGCAGCCCCTTTCCTCCCAGCAGCCTCAGCAGCAGCAGCGTCAGCAGCTGGCTCCGGGGTCGGGGCTGCGTCAGCCCCAGCGCGGTGCTGCTTACCCTCCCTGCCCCTACCAGGTTCAGACAGGTCCTCGTCGGGGCCACCCTTGTGGCCGCTTTCACCCCCCTGGTCAGTGCTTTGCTCAGCTCACTGACACGGTCCGGTTGACCTACGGGGTTGGCGGTCCTGCTCCTGACTGGCTTCCTCTGGTTCAGCGCTACGGCTCCGCTCTGTGGGGCATGTCTGCTGAGCAGTTAGTTGATCTGATTAGTGCTCCTCATGCTATGTATGCTGTTGTTGACTCTAGTGTTTCTGACTCTGTTTACTCTGGTGTTGTTAGCTTAGGTGCTAGTCTTACTGAGTTGCCTGTTGCTAGTGTAGGTACTTGTGTAGACTCTAGACCAGCGACTACCTCAGAGGACGCTTCGCTGTCGTTCACACTGGACTCTGGAGCCTCCCACTGCTTCTTTCGGGACAGCACGACACTTACACCACTTCCTGCGCCTGTTTCTGTAGCGTTGGCTGATCCCACTACGGGACCAGTCACTGCACGTCACACTACCACTTTACCGTGTCCTGCTGCTCCCTCCGGGTCTCTCACTGGGTTTCACGTCCCCTCGTTCTCCCGGAACTTGGTGGGCGTGCGACCCCTCGTGAGCCAGCACGTGGGTGTGTGGTTTGAGCCTTCTGGAGAGACTGCGGTGTGTGTTGACGGAGACTCTTACCAGCCTCTTGCTACCTTTACTGCTGAGCCGGGCTCGGGTCTCTACACTCTTCACACTGGCCCGCGTGCGCCGCAGCAGCAGCCGCAGCAGCAGCAGCAGCCGCAGCCGCAGCAGCAGCAGCAGCAGCAGCAGCACCAGCGGCCGCACCAGCAGCCCCCCCTACTGCCACTGCCCCCGGTTCCCCCCCCCGTTCGGGTCCCCGCGTCTCACCAGGTTGCTACGTCCCCCCAGGTGTCTGTGTCGTGTCAGGTTCCTCCGTCTGTTCCAGTCGCTGCGTCGTGCTCCTGCCGGTCGCTTGCCCACCCCACCGTTCTGTGGCACCACCGGATGGGGCACCCGTCCCTTCCACGTCTGCGCGCTATGTCTAGTCAGCGTCTTGTCCTAGGCCTCCCACGTGTCTTGCCGTCGCTGCCGCCTTCGCCTGCGCCGCCGTGTCGTCCCTGCGTCGAGGGTAGGCTGCGCGCCACCCCTCACTCCTCCTCCCTTCGTCCGGCCACCGAGCCTTTTGAGACGCTTCACTTGGACGTCTGGGGCCCAGCCCCTCGTCTAGGCCCTGAGCGTGAGCGTTACTTTCTGGTGGTCGTTGACGACTTCTCCCGCTACACCACAGTGTTCCCTCTGGCGAAGAAGTCTGAGGTGACTTCTACGCTGATCAGGTGGTTGCTCACCACCGAGGACACTCGTGGTCGTCGTGTCAGCTGTCTCCACTCCGACCGTGGGGGTGAGTTTCGCTCCGGCATTCTCGCTGGATTCTGTCGCGAGCAGGGCATTCGTCAGTCCTGGACGCTTCCAGAGTCCCCACAGCAGAATGGGGTTGCTGAGCGCCGCATAGGCCTGGTCATGGAGATCGCCCGCACCTCCCTGACTCACGCCTGTGCCCCCCATTTTCTGTGGCCCT